TCAACACACCGCCCCACTGCACCTCGGCCAGTCCACACTCGATCTGATTGCCATATGCTCTGCGCACCGTAGCGTCACCCGGCACAGCTAGTTGGACAGGCCACTACGTCCACGCGCGATCCCGACCGACACGCAGCAGCGCTTGCATAGGCTGGGTCTCCGCCCGCGCAGCAACCTGCTCCCATCGGCCCCAGGGTTTCTCTACAATGTCAAGACAGCGGAAGATGTTGCCGTACTCGGCAAACTCAGTACTCGTACTATGGCGCAAACTCGGCAAACTCGGTACTCGTACTATGGCGCTGCGGACAGGCTGTGCGGCTTTCAGCATTGAGGCTATACGGCTTTTAGCACGCCGTACCGGCCCTCTGACGCTCGGCGCAACCAGCAATAAGTACATACTTTGCTGGCAGATTTAATAAAATTTAACCGGAAGCGACGATGTCAGTTGTACAGCAGATTCGGGCTGAGGACAAGGCGTCTGGTCCGTTTGGCGTGCCATCGAAGTTACTCGTTACTTTCACCTCTATTTTTTTCGTTCTACCGGCACCGGTACCGGCATCTGTGAGGGGGGTTAGGAGCTGATCTTTTTCAAATCAAAATGCATGTGACACGGTTACCAAGCCTGCTGAATCGAATGGCGTTTTCAGCGTTTTCTATTTCTCTCTAGTTTCTCTGATCCAGAGGTTACGTAAGATAGATCGTGTTCCTTGATAGGTAGACCTAGATGCTACGTATGGTGCTGTGTATACAGGCACCGCTTGTTTGCTGCTACCGTAATCGAATAATGTAAATAAAATGAATTTTTTCACTAAAGGAAAAAAATCCTGAATAAGGAAAGAATATTGGACACGTACAAAGCGGTTAAGGGCGGCCTCTTCCCGCCGTGGAGGAAACCCTCGGGATATGCAGCCGCCACCAGCGCCGTATTCCGACGAGGAAATCAAACCCGTGTCCGGGGATATATCAGCCCCGCCAGCCCACTAGCACCCGCGCTGGTACTGGTGTCCTGGGAAGGACAGATATACCGGGCCCGGGGATTGTCGCGCTGGCGCAGCTCTGGGCTGCGGCATTGTACGGTAATTATCCCAATGGCCATGGGTGTACGGGGAAGTTATTACCCCTCCTGACTGATCATCGACTGGCCGTGTGTCAGATGTGCCGTGTCGGAACGGCTTTGGACATGCAGTGCTTGATTCCATCCAATCAATAAAGAACTGGCGCAAGGTAGGATGGCGAATGAGTTAGGGTTGAACGCTCGGGCACCGACAGCACGGCGCTGCTTCCGGTCGGAGGTTGGGGTGGGCGGTGCTGGCGCGGAATGGTTGGCAGATCAGATCACGGTGGCACTGCTGGCATCCGAAGGTGAGGATTGTCCGCTGACTGGGATTATTCTGGAGGAAACAGGTAGCCACAGCTAAAGTTGGTTGTTAGTTCCGATAATGCTGCACCATCACGCTCACTTTCCACAAGCCTCAGGTAGACCAAGTTGTTGCACGGAGTTAAAATGATATTGCACTGACTTACTGTATTCCGATTCCAGCTAAATTTCGTATGAGAAAATAAAGCCAAACTTACCCACTATGAGCGGTCCTCGTCAGCGACATCTTGCAGTTCGTAGATGCAGTATATATACGAGTACAAGTATACTTTAACACAAAACCACAATGGCACTGAAAGCTTACGGCTGTCTGCTACAGTGTTTGCTCTTGCCAAATGGCCACTTGCAAGTTGCAGGAGTCATGCTCAGCCATCTGCAGGCCACATTCGTTCGGTATTCTCTGGATCGAATACAATAATACTGCATAATGATGTGTATTGTGTTTTTGGATTTCAAACAACTTCACCGCGCACCCGTCACGGAGTTACAGATTACTTAGATGGAACACCAGCTGGTGCAATGTACGTAATTCAGAGTGTATGTAAATTCACGCGTGTCGGCTGGCGTAACAGTGTGGAAAATGCGTGTCCATAATGGGCCGTCTGAAAATCAATTATCATCAACTAAATATTATTTTTAATTATAACGTGATAATAACTAATATAATTATCAGATTTTATTGTAGAAATGCCATGCTGTACATGGGCGCGTGTCGGCTGTTAGATTTCAGCCCACGCTGTTTAACCGTGGGGAAAACCCCTCTACAGCTGCCTACAGTAGCTGCGCCCGGTCGGCTGATAATACGTACGTTTACACCACAGCCCTGGCCTGTTTCGATCCCGAAACTGGATGCATCCGAATACATCCAGTTTCGGGTAACGCAGATCCACGTTACCCGCAATGCCACCAGCACCACCACTCGTTTTCCATCACTTTCGGGCATAGTCCCCACTTGGAGACGGAGGCTCGTTTTTTAGGAACTTTCTCATCTCAAAATTAATTTGAATTCGTGCCAGTGCACTTAATTAATTGGACGAAATAATGAAAACCCCTTTTAAATGCGATAAACTACTCTTGACATTATATGCTAATTGGTCGTGTTGTAAAAACTTGTAAACGTCTTACGCTTCCAAATACTTGTCAGGCTGTCTGGGACGAACTTGAACTTGTGCTGATGCAGCGCTGATAGCGACGGCGTTGGGCGTCGTAATCGCTGCGCTAGCAGGTGCTCCTTAAGTACCGTGCTCGGGCAACGGATATAAAACTTAATAGTGTGAAAAGTTCGCTCATGCGACGTCGGAATATACGTACTAACGGATGTACAGGCAGGTGTAAAAATCCATCATATCGTACTAGCTGATTGGAGGCGAATCTGGGCAGTATGGAACATGCCCTCGTTGCTTTTATCTGCGCATGTGCAGTGGCAGTGGGTCTGATCATTTTCCAGTGTATTGTGCGGCGTTACATTGGTGAACCGGCGGAAGATGTTAAACGAGAGAAGATGGCGGAGCCTTTCAGTATTTCTGCCAGGGTTGTCTGACTTATATATTACTGATCCTTTTATGCGGATTAATTTATTTTACTGATCAGTTTTTCCTTGCTATCTTGGCCATTACGTTTTACAGCCGTCACGCAGAATCAGCATAGATTTTACTGAGTTCTGCAAAGGGACAAATCTGGGCAACATCGCTAAACTGCCACGACTATAATTTATCGAACAGGACTCCATCATCCATGCTGAGTTAGCAATGCTGCGTCAGCATCCATCTTTTTTCTTCGGCGTCTATAAGCCCAGGAATTTTGTTACGTTGTTCGGCCCATGGCAAATGCTGAGCCAATCAGTTACCGTTTCGGGTTTTCCCTCATGCACAGAGTATGTGCAATCATATGTCGCGGATTCGGTTTGTCCATACGTGCGCATGAGCCGGAGTGCCACACCCAAAAGTCAACGCCCTGCGAGAGAGCCTGAACTGGCGCACGTCATGGATTCTTCGCTTTACGGGCCGGATGCGTTACCGGCTCAGATCAAAATCGCCCACGTCGATAGCGGTTCCTCCAAAAACAGAATTTTACCATTGACAGGGTTATGCGATTGCACCACGGTTCAAATGCATATTGTAGAAGCGACGCAATATACCGGTCTGCAGCCGCAAAATTCTTCAAAGCGCCAGCGATTTCCACTGTAATGCACGGCATCCCACCATCGACGATGCATAAACACTGCAGAACAAAAAACTACGGAGGAGAAACCTTACGAATATCGGACTGCTTTTATGCGAGACCAAGCACTAAAATGGGTGCGAATGATGGCGAAGCCGCGCTGGAGCAAGCACGGCCTCGCAGTTTACCACGCACGTCTTTTCTGTGGAAGTTGTCTTGCGATCACGAGTGATGCAGCGTTGTATCAGCTTCAGCATCTTGGGAAGATTCCAACGGTATTCTTCAAATGCCGGACGTAACGGCGTTGTATAATGGAACGCTGCAGGTTCTCGTTGACGTTCGGGAAAAGAGTTCCTTCAAGAAAATACCGGAGCGGTTTAATTCGTGAAGAGCTCCAAATAAAGTCCGTTGCGAATCTACAAGAGAGTTGCGGGAAAGGAGAAAGCGTCAGCGAAAGCCATTTCCGGAATGTTCCCGAACCGGAAATGACACTCTCGGGTCAGGATGGGAATGTCGGCAATGTGGTTGCCCAATGTGTTAACACGCTGAAATGAGCGAAATATCTATGTCCATGGCCCATGGGCAGAAACGCGCAACAGCAAGAATAAATTAAGAAAATGCTTTCCTGCAATCGATGTAAGCATGGAAACTGGCTTCGCACAAGGAAAACCTAGCAAATCCGGGCAGTCCTCTTGGTTTGTTTTTGGATATACTGTCCAGACATTTCAAACAAGCAAGATGACAGCCAATAAAAAAGAGTGGTGTTTTCCTTAAGTTTTGGAGTACGGTTTTGTAATGGCATCGTTTGCAGCGGCTTGCTTCACTCCGGAATCTGTGCACCTTGAAATACCGGTGGTGTGGGTTAGCAAAAGAAACCTAGATCTAACGTTCCTGTGCAGTTAACAAAATGAGCGAACGTCTAACTGTTAACACCGTCAGCAGGTTCTTTTTAAGGTCGAAACCATTTGATTTGCCCAAATCGATCGAATGATATTGTGCGTTATTAATTTTTGCGCCTGGCAGTCGGCAAACACATGTTACTTGTGAAACAAACGCTCTTTTAAGTTTTACTGTAACATCGAATGAATAAATAGCGGTTAGTGCCCATCACTACCTGTAGTTCGCTGCAGCAATTATGCATACGGCACGGTTAATTAACTAGGTACACAATCTCTTCTTCGAGCGTCTGGCATTTCCGGATGCCACAGGTTATGCAACTTCGCAAAGCACTGCTTCTGCTGGTCCAGGTGAACTATTCGAGCAACATATACTGATTACGAAGCGCATAACAGAAGTTAAGAACCCCTATACAGGTGAACGATAAACCATTGTCCCATGCAATAATGCGAAGAATCGTGCTTCTTCTTATTTTCCACCGATTAGGTCAAAGGTCAGTCACGACAGCGTACAACATTAATAATAATTTTATCAACAGAATTCTCTTTCCGTTCCACCTGTTAAGTCCAAGTGAATTTAATTAACTGCAGCGATAGGGAAACACCAACAAGGCTCTTGCTGTTTCGAAGCTGGTTAGTTGATCATCAAGACTACTACCTGTTTTTAATCCAACGCAATCTCTTACCGATTTTAACGAGATTACCGGAAAAGCATTTACTGCTTTCTAACAATCTTGTTCGCTTCGTAGCGGTTGTATATATATTTACGGCTGTGTTTTGCAAGTGTATTTTAATAAAATCTCCGGATTTGTCGATCGACTAAGGGCGCATGATGCGCTATTTTCCAACGGTCATCCGATTCCCCTGGGAATCCCCGCATCCCGTCAAACACCCATCTTTTCTGCACACAAGTAAGATATGTTGTTATCCTAAGCTTCCTTGACTGCGCTGACAGGAACTTTGCAGATGGCGCTGCGGATGCCCAGCGCAGCGTGGCGGAAGATGTCCACACCGCGTACGGTCCGCTGCACGGCGGCCACATCGCCCTGATCGTCATCGGCCTGATCGCCTCCCTGTGTGTTGTACTGTGCGTGGTGTGTTCGCGACGGGGTCGCACGATGGCGTCGCGTTCGTCTAAAAGCCTGGCGTTAGCCGGCGACCAGACAAAGACGACTATCGTGGACGAGGAAGCGGATGAGCCCGCTCGCCGGAACTCCACGGCATCCTCCGAAACCGGGATCAACTTTAACGTGTAATACACGTTGTGGACAACGCTTCGATTAATCGATTAGTCCGCAGTAAAACTGATACAATTAAAAATTATTGTAATTAATAATAAATATATTCTGTGTAAAAAGGATTTATGATGTTTCGGTTCGAAGAATTCTTTAAAATGGCGGCTGTTGATTTTTATACCCTTGTAACACTAGTTTTATTTCTCTTTGTATCAAAAGTTGTGAGTAACTTGCACAGCAAAAACTTAACATTTGCAACAGCTGAATACAAATTAAAACCGGGCATTTTTATTGCATTCTTTAATACGTGCAGAGCACAAATCATACGTTGTTCACGCGTAATGTGCACTTTTGTAATTTACTCATTTCCCACCGGTTCACCGAACACGTATTGCCAGCATAATTAAATCTCCGAAAGCCAGTAGAAACTATAAAGATATTCTGGGACACTGTAACCCGAGATCACAAAATCCGCCATAATCCCGAAAACACAAAACCTATAGGTGATGCTCTAAATATCGCGGCTGCGGCGTTACCATCCGCTGCACCGGTGCATCCTCCACATACCGCGGTTGCGGCGCCACCATCACCGGAATATCATTAACATACCGGGCTTCCCGCTCCACGGGTCCGTCATCCAGGGCTTTATGCACCTTGGGCGTGATATCCCTCACACTGATCTGCGAAGCCCTGTACTGTGGATTATCGTGGAAGCCGGTAGTGTCGCGATTGGAATTCTGCTTTAATAAACTGCGGCGGTAGATGTTCAGCCCCGCCGCGATACTCTGGCATAAGGATAGGGCGAACATGCCCAGATAGCCGATGGCTTTCATCAGCTGGAAGGCGTAGCTGTCGCGGGTGCTAGCCATGGCCCACGTGACCATGACGGTGGTGATCTCTAAGAGGACAAAGGCGGCGATGGCCGTGAAGAGGTTGCTGTAGAGGGCGGTGGATAGAAAGCGGCCGACGGGGACGTGACAGGCCGGGCGGATAACGAGGATGCCCAGGATGCCGGTGATGAGGAAGACCACGCCCAACCACATCCCCGACGCCCCCGCGGTGTGATACAGCTGATACGCACGCTCCGTGCGGAAGACTGTAATCAACAGCTGCGCTACACGCGCAAATGGACTTTGCTCATTCTTAATTTATTGAAAAATTTCCTTTGACGGTGAAAAATATTTTTAATAGCCAGCAAACCACTTCTTTAAAACTGCTACTCATTCAGCAGAAAATAAAAAAAAAATTTCAAAAATAAGTTTACGGGGAAGCGGCCAACGACCTTTACATAATTCGATGTAGTTAAAAAACCAAAATTTACTGACAAAAATTTGGAAATACGGAAATTACAAAATTTTACTTACAGAAATGTGGAAATGCGGAAATTACAAAAATAAGAACCATTTAACTGAGTTATTTATTCGTAATTTTAAGACAAATTTCCGCCTACCCGGTAGACATTTAAAGCGCGAAAGCCTGCCCAGTTATGTCAGAGTTTACGCAACCATACTTGCAATATCGAGGCCGAAAAGGGCCAATCCGATGATTATCTGGAAGGCGGCGTTAATGATGAATAAATTGCCGAAATTGACTTCCTTGGCGTAACCCATATCCGTTGCGCCAGCGCATCCAAAGAGGCCGTTATGGCTGTTAGTCGGCGGCGGCCCCACTGATTCCGTGGCATAGCGCAAATTACCCTCACATGTTTGGCAAATTAATCATCCTCCGAGTAAACACATGGTGGCAACGCTCGACGAAGCTGCAGCTGCTCACTGCACAGGTACCGTTATGATAAAGGCCTTCCACATATTATGGCGCTCTTGACTTGCCGCGCGGCTGCTGGTGTGTATTTCCCCTGCGTCGGACGTTTTATCGCTGCTGCTGTGTGAACACTTGCAGTACTGCACGTATGATAATGTAACGGTGTATGCAGCAGGGCGTTCGGCGAATGCATATTATTGTTGTTTATGAGCTATCAAAGGCCTGCGCGATTATGAACGCGCCGACCTATCGGTCCGCGTCGTCAAATCTCGGCTTTATATGCCGTTGAGAGACTGCTGAGATTTACCTGTGCGTGTTGGCCGGTGTACGGCGTATAGCGTATTTGAAATTCCGGTGTGATTGTAAATCTGTGAGTAGCTGTAAAAGTACGAGTTATGAATGGGGAAATATGCACGTTACGATGGGCTAGATAAACAGTCAAGCCAATCTGTTGACCTTGTGAGCTGTTATTGTTACACAGTAATGCCGGCAACACTTCATTTGTTTGCCGTTATACTTCATATTTTCACAGTGGCGTAGATTAAGCAATTGCAGTTTCCTAAAAACGTGATTTTTTTAGTTAAAAAATACTCTAAATGTTAATCCTTGACGGGAAGTGCATAGTTACGCCACCACGTATCTGTAACACCTATCTAAAATATTTTATGCCTGTGGCAGGTTTTCCAAATCGATTACCCCGTGAAATGATTTTAGAATTGTTTCCGTTACTGTTAATTTATCATTTACTTCGCTGGAGCAGTAACACTTAAAACTGCGATGTAGAGTTGGTAATGTTATGCCGTATATCGCGGAGCCAAAATATCATAATTGTGTTGTACAACCAAGAACAGCACACTGATTACAGTACATACTGTACTTATTAAGCAGCGATAATAAACAGGGGACACTCTAATGCCATAAACAACTATCTTTATAAAGAACATTTCTTTCGAGACAAATTTCTAGCTAGTGAAGTCTTTGTAATTATGGATGCCCCCTAAGTAAAACACACGTGTACCCTTTATGATGCAATATCATGGTCAGCGGCCAAGCTCTACGACAGCATAAACCCGGAAGTATCGACGGCAAAGGCGATACCTCGCCCAACACCCAACCTACCGGCCTTGTAATCAGCAGTCAGTGCAGCTATGCTGCATATTTGATGTACGGTTGCAGATACTAGTACCTGAGAAGCACATGCCCAGAACCAATGAAAAACGTGATTGGGAAAGTGACATGATGGCATAAATAGTTTTAGATACATGTAATGGATTGAGAATGCGTATGCCTTCTGGCTTTTGTGTAAGTAATAATTATAATAAGCGAATCTTTATAAAAACTAATCCTTCAGACCGGTATCAGTAAAACTGGCGTAAAGTGTCACATATTTGAATAATAAATGATTGCATAGGGTTCAAAGATGAATAACATATTGAAAATTGATTAACTGAAACTGCATGTTATTTGTGACACGAAATTATAGAACCCACATACACGATCCGCTCACTCGCAATCGCTTGGCCAGAAATTTATCTGACTTTTTTTACGCCATGCCGTTTCTGAATAGAAATTTAATAATTTTGGCTAATATTTCATTATTTAGCAGTGGTTACCAGTCACTGACCACCGAACTGTTAGTGAATCTTTGCAAAAAATTACTATAAATTTTACACTGTTAACTTTGCCATTATGTGGTTCAAACAGTTAAGCACGGTCAGGGAATTGCAAGCAGGGAATCCTTTCATAATTGCCACTATACTACGTTTCCTATGCTGTGCATGTGTATCTTACCCTACGATGTTTTGGTAATGCCTTTTTTCCAGAATCGTACGTATTTTAATTACTCAAACTGCGTTTACTTAGTACCGACTACCGTAACTGAATCAGCGCGCTTTGTCGACGCAGATAGCGCGTACCGAGGAATACAATGAAACGTTTGACATAATGTTTTTGTCCGCACTGAATTTTGCTCTAACCATTACACAACATGATAAGAAAAACAGCTACATGCCCAACCAACAGTCAGATCACCATAAAGGTCACACCGCTATGCGAAGCGTAAGCGTCAGCAGAGTGCACTGTGCAGACTGAACTGCCGTTAGTTAACCGGCATCGGTTTCTGGCGTACGTTTACGGTACTTCTACGGATTGAGCGAGCTGTATAAATAAGCGATCAACTAAACCGTGAACCCATTATTCCAGTTTCATACTTTGGGCTCCGCGGGCACCTCTTTCATGGCCAACCGCGTAATCGTCGTCATCGGTGTCTTGCGAATCGTGCAGAACTCGACGAAGGCCAGCACGGTCTGTGCCAGACAGCACAACGTGAAGATGAGATAGACGCTCAAATAACCGGCCATGATGCTGTAGCCGGTTGGCGTCAGGATGTCCACGTCGGCCAGATTGAGATAGGCCCAGTACTGGTGAACGTAGTTGACGTAGTAGGCGCGCCACTCATCGTAGTAGTTGATGAAGGTGGAGTGGTAGATGACCAGGCCGCCGGAGCTGATGATGCACAGCAGACTCATCACGGCCGAGGTGCACAGACAGCAGCGCCGGCCGTGTGCGGACTGGCCGACGGGCAGGGGACGGCCACCGCAGATGCCGAAGCAAGAGGTGATCAGGTAGAACACGCCCAGCCAGATTCCGGCGCAGAAGGCCGTGTGCACCAGACCCATCACGATACCGGTTACGATCATCGCTGAATCAAGACGATACAACCATTACCTTCGTGTTTTTTTTGCATTAGAAACGTTTTTACTGTATGACTTCGCAAGAAGCACGCCGTACGCGAATCTACAACAAGCCAACATAATAAGGTGTACAATACAAGTGTTACGTACTCTGCACACGCTTTAAACGCATTGTAATGGAAGTAAGCGTTGCTAAATAGTTCTGGCAAAAGTGAAATGAAGCATGTAACCTTAAGTACAGCTATAATTTTGCAGATGTCTTTAGATTCAGTTTAAGTACCGTTAAAAGATGATTTTGCTGTAGCACAGTTATATGCGCATTCCAAGCTTACTAGTAACATCCATGGCTATCAAGACGCAAGCCAACAGCAGCTGTAGAACACCGAAACACATGACCTGCTTCGGCCGGTGAAGAGCCGTCGGTAAATCGGAAGCCATATTGCTGTCTGGATCCTGTACTGCCGATGTATCCTAGGTATGTCCAGAAAGCGAGAAGTCGACGATCACAACACAGTTTCCAAGGAGCGCGCGTACAATATTTTAACGGTAAAGTTATTCCATATAACCGTATCAGCATATCTAAGCTCGCGTGGTCAGTAATGCTGTTATCTTCGCACTCTTTAATTTGAGAATAAACAATATGTTGCAGAAACAATTGGCGATTGTGCAAAATTTGTCTGTGCGATAAGAGCGACTATCAAAAGTAGGGAAGTCAAAATGTTTGAACTGGAACTTGTAATCAGCGTACGTATATGAGTAATGTGCAGCGATACCTATATTATATAGATATAAATAGAAGTTCGGCGATACGATCTGTAAATGCAGTTTTTCGGGACAGCGTAATTAAACATAAAACATATCTTCCAAAAGTTAAATAAAATTAGAAATTAGAAGAGTATTAAAAATAATCCGAATTCTCGAGCAAAACACAGGTAGCACACACTTCATAAACGAAAACGACCATAGTAAACAACAAGGGAAGCTCTTGGCTGTCCGTAAAATCTCAGTCTTATAATCTGTAGGCGGCATGCGACTGCGTGACCTGCGTCATCTGGTGCGCCATACTAGCCTGCCGCAGTTTATTGTTCGTCTTCCCAATCAGAATCGTCGAAGCCAGACTGTTGACGAACATCATCCCGGCCAGTGCCAGCTGTGTCGCCACCAGGGTCAGTCCGTAGTTGGCGATATTCCATGACGGCCCCATGATGTACCGGTCCAGATTAGCCAGATCCGCGTTGTCCGGATCCAGCAGCATGGTCAGCAATAGCGCCAACAAAATCGTCAAACCGAAAGCGCTGAGGATGGTGAGGATGTTGAGGACGAGGCTGGTGATGATCCAGCAGCGTTTCTGGTAGCTGTTCACCCTCACCGTCGTCCCGGCGGTGATGGTCAGGAGACCGGCGATAAAGTAGTACACACCTAGGACCGTGGATGCATAGTGCAGGATGTCCAGGTAGAACTGTGCGTAGGCTGAAATGCAAGAAAGCGTTCGGTCAAAACCGTCCTAACGGTATGTAAATCTGTCCTGTAAACCTATTTGTTTTCTGTATAGGGATTTGCTAGGACGCTGTTCATCTTTATACTGGAGTGGGCCCGAGTGCGTGTACGACGAATTTGTATGTGATGATGATTCATGACTAGTTAACCGGAGATTTTGGATTTGTTTCTAAGCATAAACGCTCATGGTACCGTATATTGCTGCGCAAAAAACCATGAGCCGAAAATCCTTCTCACGTCTAATTCCCCAACTGTGGCACAGCTAAATACAATGTAGGACGAAATGGTCGCATAGCCCCATACCCAGCATTCTGTACGCAAGCGGTGCAGTGCACTTGTACGAAACGGATATTTTGAACTCACCAGTCAGTCGTACAGTGCACTGCGCTGCATTCGTACTGAATGTGGAGATGTTGGGTATGCGACCATTTTGTCCTAAGCTGTACTGTAACTACCGAGAGAGTTTATGCAAGACCAAAGTAAGGAAAAGTGCAGCAAGAAAATAATGGTAAATTAATAGCTACGTAGTAAATACAGATACATGGGCATGGTCAAATGATTATTTCAAGAAAGAGCGCTTCCAAGGACCACTGCTGACGTCCGTCAACTGGAGCTCTGTAAGTAACCGCGTGCTAGAGGTTTGCTACGACCGCTGAGCGTATTTTAAGCAAAATATATGGCGAACACGGTTCTCGTGCAAAGAAACCTCGGAAAAACAGACACATCCGAAACTGTTATGGACCTTGTGGTTTAATTAGTAAGCTCGATGTGAGTAGAACAACAGCGCTAATAACGCTGTCTGCAGGAAACTAGTTAACTCTAGATCGAGTCACACCACAGAAATAAATATCAATGGAATAGTTTACCTACAGCATCCACACTGACGAGAACACTGCCGCACACGCACTGCACGGCTCCCAGCGCGATTAAAGGCAAACCCCGTGACAAGACCATGTCCGTCTTTGTATGAATGCTCTGGACCAAGACCCCAACAAACGTGCAACACAGAAAATGTTGGTATGTACAGATCAGATTGTGCATCCGTCAGTAAGTACGGTGAGGATATCACGGCCCGTCGGCTTATCGGCCGCACGCTTCAAGATAAACTACTTAGCACCTGCACCGATGTCAGTGATTTCCAGTTATGCAATTGTCATTAACCATGATAAGTTTTCACAACAGGATTTTCTTGCACTACTCTGTACATAACCCTGGTAAATTTGCCGATAGTAAGCTACCCTTAAATTATATCCCTGTCTCAAATCCGGTTAGGATCGACGCGAGATCCGGAACTGGAGGAAACGGAGACGTTAAATGACATCTTGTTCATGTACTCGTGAATAATGTAGTTATTGCGGTTGCATTCAATGTGTCAAAGTTAATATATACTAATACAGTACAACCTGTTGCGGGTACGACGGAAGTGCTTGCTTCGCTCCGTTCGCTTGACCATGACCACACAGCGAGCAAAAGCGCGACATCTGGGAATCTGCACCCACCCCATTGAGCACAGTGGCAGCCAATTTATTGGTAGATGAGAAAGAATTCTGTCGGGGATTATGTCAGTTTTTTCTCAGTCACATTGGAATTCTGCTGATTAAATGCAATTCAGTAGCACAGGTCAACCGACTACTCCACTGGGCGCAGCACCAGTTGAAGATTTACAGTCCTAAATTTCAGAATGAATTTTTTCGTGGGTTTATCTCTCATGGCATCAGAGGCACGGCGGCCGTACCATCCCTTCATATTCCCGCACCTAACCCCGAAAGGTCCCGAGCCCTCTATGGGCTGTACTCAGTGGAGTGCAAGTGCGGCAAGTATCCCCTTTCTGCCGCGCATGCCGGCGCGTGCCGCGGTGCCACCGACCCCGCTCCGGCCCCGGGACACGTCACCCGTCGGTGCCCTGCACCTGGACGGAGCCAGCCGCACCAACGCCGCCCCATGTACCGTGTTATGAGTGTTGTTATTCAAAGAATTATACGTTATATGTTGTTATGTACTGTTGTTATATGTTGTTGGTGTACAGTATCGAAGATTTCGCTTGGTATTCTTCAAAAGTTATCCATTATTAGCTTGTTTATAATTAATTTTATTAATTATCAGATAGCGATCGTTGAGCTTTTGGCCTTTTAAACAGTTTCGTGGAATGTGCGAGTATGAGCTACATTCAGGTATTACGGAATATTAAAATGTACATACTTGATACGATAATATCGTACGTACATTTATTAATTTCGGAATACGCTGCTCCATAATATGGAGCAGCGCGGGTGTTATATACGTAGAAACTTGCCGTCAGTAAAATGAATTATATACAGTACAAATTTAAAAGAGTTCTGATAACTTTCGACTTGGACAGTGTAATAACTTTGGGCATTAATAGACTATACTGGACGCAAAAAACACGCCCAACTTGTACAAGCGTTGTCATTTAAACTTGACTCCGTTTTACTTCTTGTACTGGTTCAAACTGGAAGTGACACGCGATAAGTTACGATTATTTAACTTTACGTTTCCTCGTAATATTTTCCTTTCCTTTCACCGATCCGATGCACTAGATAACATTTGACAGATACCGGTACCGATATGGCTTACCAGTGGAAACTACCACTATACCATTACAACGCCGATAAAAGCCGCTTGTGCTGATCGCGCTCTCCACACAACAAACAACTTAAATTGGCGTAACAACAAGTTGGCAGTTTCGTTGATGCACCTGTATTACTCGTACATATGCTTACGGTTATCACGAGACGTTGTGGCACTATTACCGGCTATATAACCGCGATCTGGGGAGCAGGAAAGTTAGTTGCATCTCAGTTAGTCGTTCGCCGTACACTAATAGTCGCAAAAATGTCCCAGCCGGATTACGTCCAAGAGGTAAGCTTGCAAAATCGCTTAAACTGTTAATCTTGGAGCCGCTTAATTAATGGACTCTGCTCCGAAGCGCTGTGATTTGCCTTATTACTTCAATTGCCAATATTGCTAATTGCCTAAATTTATAAGTGCAATAAAATTCGCAAAAGAGAATTAATGATGCTTCGTTGTAAGCGTAAAGTGCGTAAGTAAACGCTTCTCCGTTTACATCCAGCGCTAGCGATGTACGGTTTGGTTTTGCATGTACGGTCTTTATTGATTTTCATAATGAATTTCGAAGCGAGCTCCATCTTTTTACACGGTTGCACACATCTGACTCTAAAAAACTGTTGTTTCTTAGTTCAATAAAAATGGCTACGCGGTTATCCCGAATTTTCTCTCGCCGCAAGAGGTTGTCGCGTTGAAGAGCGCTATGGCCCGCATTATCGACGAGATGGATCCCAAAGATCACAGCCGGCATATCTTCCACCATCCGGATCAGGAGAGCACCCACAGCCAGACGAAGAGCGATAGTTTCGACGATTACTTCCTGAACAGCGGCGACAAGGTGCGCTTCTACTTCGAACCCAAAGCAGTCCGGGAGGACGGCAGCCTCACCGTGCCGAAAGATCGCGCCATCAGCCGAGCCGGTATGATCGTTATGCCACTAAGCGGCATCATGGAATCTGTAGTTGCAACCACGATGCTGCAGTTTGTAACTCGGCATCCTCATATTTTCAGTGGGATACAATTATCTCTTAGTTACAGGGTGCATGCTTTTAATTATGAAAGTGTAAGAAACCGGTCGGACCAAGATGTTGATGTCCTTGTTATCAAAACACCAAACACCAACAATGTGTTTTCAATTCACAGTCATGTTTTTGACAGCTCCAGTTACAAAAATATGTTTGTATTTTTATCAGATATAAGCATCAATCAACATACGAACATCATGTTTTGGAAACATGATTCAAAAGCACCTTGAACAGCTCCCACAACATTTTTGGACTGCAATATTTCTTATACAGAAAAACCAGCGATCTCTTTAAATTTAATTTTTCGCAATACAATTTACGGCAGTTACGTAAAAGACGATTGGTACATATTTCTATGCTTCGTGTGCAAACCTGCAAGAGCAGTCACTACCGTTAACGCTATAATGTGTTTGAAATCCTTCGCAGGATACGCCATAGGTTGGCTGGAACCAGCCTTCAAGAAAGTGACCTTCAGCGAGAAAATCAAGGATATCTGTCGGATGATGGGCCTTGTCGATCCTCGACTGGTGCAGAGCGTGTATCTTTTTAAGAATCCTCGTATGTAACACTTTTCACCAGAAATGTAAAGCTACAACTCACAAGTGCTATGTTCTGCAGTACTGGGACAGAAAGTAACGACTCACCAGGATTCCACGTTTCAAAACGTCGACCCGCCGGAGAAACTCCTAGGTTTCTGGATTGCCTTGGACGACGCGGCAGTGGAAAATGGATGCCTGCATTTCATGCCGGGAACACAACATGGTACTTTGACCGATATAAACTGTTCCTTCGGCAAATAAAATATTATTCAATAAGCGGCAAATTGGCAATCATAGATTTGTTTTTTAAATTGACGCATTTCGTCAGTTGCCAACGATCGCGTAAACCCAGCCAGATTTTGATACCCACGTTTAACTTTGTTCGCGTCATGTACAGTGCCTCCAACTTGTCATTTTATCCGCAACCCCAACCCGACGCCGGGCAAACTGACCATGATGCGCGGAGCGGAACCAGACGAGAAAGAATTTCCTCTGGAACGCTTCAAACCGGCACCGGTATCCAAGGGTTCCTTGGTGCTAATCCATGGCAATGTCATCCATAAAAGTGAAGATAACACGTCGGATAAACCGCGCAATGCCTACACCTTCCATGTGGTGGATTTCAATAATGCTCGATACAGCCCGGAAAACTGGTGAGTACAACGCCATCCACAGTCCACACCTGCAGAACTTATAAAATGCCCAGAAAATCTGCACAGACTTTAATAAAGAACTGTTTTTGTTTGTGGCAGGCTGCAACCGACCGAAGCGATGCCCTTCCCAAAGCTCTATGAAGTCCAGGTCTGAGATTTCCACTTGCCACCCGGGTGCTGTGTGCCGGTACGGTGAAATTTCCACTACGACTGAGGCGTGCGTTGGATTTTATCGTTATTCGTAATAATTCGCAACCATTCAGCTGTGTTAACAATTCAGCATTCTAATATTGTTTTGTTGTCGATGTATGAAATGCATATTATTACTAATAAATAATATTACTCGTGAAGCTATTATTGTGAACTTTAAAGCTCAACTGCATTTAAATTTTAAACAGCTTTTCTGCACTTGCTCAACGATGTACCGTATCTGTACAGTACGCATGCATTTATCCTCACAATCAGCAATGTTTTCAAGAGTTTGACTTCTACGTACGGGAGTTCAAACTTACGTAGAGCAGTGTAGTATTTTCTTGTACGAGTAAGTACAACTCACCAATCAGTACAAGCTACATATCGCACTTATACTCAGCCGATAAACTAGATAATACCGCACAGATAGCTGCTTTACCAGTGGAAACTACCGTTAAAACGCCGTTAAAAGTGTCGCGTGTTGATCGCGTTTTAGACTCAGCAGACAACTTCCGCAGGCGCAGACAACTGGTTTGCAGCGATGTTGATGCACTCCTACTAGAAGTATGCTAGCAGTCGTTAGTAAGCGTTTTTTCACTATTAGCAGTCGTATTCCGGCAATCTTGGGTGCAAGAAAATTCACAATCAGCTGGATTTAAGGTTTTTCGTACATTAATAACCGCAAAAATGGCTCAAGCGAATTTCGTGCAAGAGGTAAGCCCCAACAATTTGATGGAGAATCTCAGTGTTGGTGCTGTTTCTCGCATTGATACACTATCGTACTGAATAGTGAATACTGCTCTTTAATAAGCAGTAAGCGTTCGCTCGTACTTGCTTTACTTTTAACCGAATCTCTTTTAGAAATGGAAACGCAGTAGAACTGTTTAGGCTTAGAAAAAATTATAAGCAGGTTGGCACTTTACTGTACGGTTACTCGTTGCTTTTGAACTGTTAGTATTTCTGCAGTTCAATAAAAATGGCTACGCGGTTATCCCTAATTTTCTCTCGGCGCAAGAGATTGCCGAGATGAAAAGTGCCATGTCGCGCATAATAAACGAGATGGATCCCAAAGAGCATAGCCGGCATATCTTCCACCATCCGGATCAGGAGAACAGCCAGACGAAGAGCGGAAGTTACGATGACTACTTCATGACCAGCGGCGATAAGCTGCGCTTCTTCTTCGAACCCAAAGCGGTCAAGGAAGACGGGAGCTTGACGGTGCCGAAGGATCGTTCAGTGAGCAGAGCCGGTAAGAACGAGAGTCAGCAGTATCGCAGACGATTTTATCGGTCTCCCACAGTTTTATACATATTTCCGCACTCTGCATGCAGTTACTGCAATAATATTAGTTTTATGGCAAACAGTTGCATTACAGATTGTAAAATTGCCAGTACCGTTAAGGAATAACATAGGTACTGCAATTGTACCTAGTTAATCTGTGTTCTAGGATACGCTCTGGGTTGGCTGGAACCAGTATTCAAAAAAATGGCTTTTAGCGACAAAATCAAGGATGTCTGCCGGCAGCTGGGGCTCGTCGATCCCCGACTGGTGCAAAGCATGTACCTTTTTAAAAATCCAAGTACGAAGCTTCAGGAGATTTTTACCCCAGCACAGACACATATCTATAAAGAGCGGTTGTAAAAGATTCGGGTTTGTAGTAATTGGTCAGAAAGTAGCAACGCACCAGGATTCCACATTTCTGTACGTCGATCCTCCGGAAAAACTGCTAGGATTCTGGATCGCGTTGGACGAGGCGACGGAGGAGAATGGATGCTTGCATTTTATGCCGGGAACACAAAATGGTAATTCACTTTTTTAAGCATAACTTTAATTATCAGGATCCACCTGCTGTTTGAAATACGCTGTACTCCCACAAATTTCGTTCATGTCATACACAGTGCCTCCAACCTGTCGGTTTGTCCGCAACCCGAACCCGTCGCCGGGCAATCTGACCGTTACGCGCGGAGACGCACCCGACGAGGTCCAGTTTCCTCCGGAACGGTATCGAGCGGCACCGGCATCCCCGGGGACCCTGGTGCTGATCCATGGCAATGTCATCCATAAAACCGAAGATAATACGTCGGATAAACCGCGGCATGCCTATACCTTCCACGTGGTCGATTTCGAGAAGGCACAATATAGCCCGGAGAACTGGTGAGCAGAACGCAATGCAACGTACACCTGATGGCCAGTAGTCGTGCTCTTTTGCATGTCTATCGCGGCATTTGATATAGCCACGGCATAACAGGATGGAAAGGATTCAAATGTCGCGTGTCATGCTTACAAAGAAATAACATTGTAAACCTGGCTGTGTTTATGTAGTACTGCGTAGCATCTGCGGTAGCTTAATCTTTTACTAAGAAAACTGATTTTGCTTGTGACAGGTTGCAACCAAGCGAGGCGCTGCCCTTTCCAAAACTCTACGAAGTGCAGGCTTGATATTACCGTTTGACTGTGTAGCGGTAGGATAATCCGATGCCCAGTAGGTTACTTCCCGCATTACAACCGATTCCGGTCTCCGCAATGCGCATAATCACTCCTTCTGTTGCTAATTCATTGTCTCAATATTATTGTGCTGCTCATATCGTCTTAATTAATTGTCCGCTACTGGTTCTTTATTTTAGCTATTAAAATATTGTAGACCGACTTGATGCGTTCTTACAATTAATTTAAGCGTAGATATTAAAGTGGTTGAATGTTGCTAAACGGTTCACCATGTTGCGGCTATCTGTTCTAATCAGCTTACCATGAGCGTGACTGGATACTTTTATCGGAAGCTGCTGATTCTGCTTCGAAATCTGATTTTAGTTTTCCTTCTTCTTTCCTCCGTGCGGGTTTTCCTTTTCCTGATGATTTAAAAGCTTCGTAAAATTTGTTATAGGAATCTAAATAACGCTAACGTGTTCAGCAAAAAAGATACAAACCGACAAACTGAATGCCAGTGAAAACATTTCTATAAACCATCGGGACAGCTGATTCGCGGTATCTTCTTCGAAGACCATCGTACATCTAGCACGAATGCAAAGCATCGCGATGCGGTGTAGCTACGCGCCGCTAGTGACGACATGGGTATATTTGCTGTCATATCGCGGTGAAGAGCGGCTGGCCAGAGCTTGCTTTCCATCCCAGAGCAGAAACCGTAAGCAATATATACCGCGAAAGCCACTGGAAATATTGGATGGATGGCTACTATGGTTATTCTATAATGTATATCGTTATTTTACGAGTACTTATTATCATTCGTTCCACTAGCCAAGCCTTTTATGCGGAGATTTCTTAACAGGTTGATGGCAACGTTTTCTAAAACTAATTTTACAAATACCAAAAGTATGTTTTTTGGTCTGATTGTAGGCTATAAAAGTCAGCCATCCTAGAATATGTGTATGATAAAAAGCAAATCGTCAAGTGGTCGCTTAAATTGTAGTTAACGATATCCTGGAGGAGGGGCTGCGCTCCCAACGGCAAGAGGATCGGGTGACTCTGACCTTTCCTCCGTCCAACCCCCCGGAGAGCCTGCTGCGACGTCCCCGCCCCGGGGAGGACGCGTCGTTTGACTGCCAAGTCCCCGCCGCCAAGGACGTCCGCAGCATTGCCTGGCTGCACCAGAACCGGCCCATCTTCGAAGGCGGTCGCGTCGTCCCCCGGAAAACGGGCGGCCAACAGTACCGGTTTTCTATCTCCAGCCCGACATTTACCCTGACCATCGTCAACGTCACGCTGCAGTCCAGCGGCACGGTGGTCTGCGTGGACGCCGTCCCCCGCCCGCACTACAGCCCGGAGCCGCCGATGGTCTTCACGCAGTATACGCTGCTGCCGCTGGTCAGCCGGGCCAGCGAGGTCCTTGTGCCGGTGCCGATGGCGCAGCAGTCCGCTCGCGCTGGCCAGAACCTGACCATTCCCTGCAACGTCCGCTTGCCGCTGTCCGACGCCGTAGTGGACAATTTCCGCAACCATTTCATGTGGCGCCACAACGGCCAGGTGGTGTACGCTCCCACCGAACCGCCGTACGCCGCGCTGTGGCCCACGGGTCTGCGCCGGCCGTACTTAACGCTGTTCGATCGCTTTGAGAGCTATCGTCCCGGCGCCACGGCCAGCTTCTACATGACTCTGGAGTCCACCACCGCCGACGTCAACGGCTACGTGGAGTGCTGGTTCCGGCCGCATGCCGCGGTCCACGAATGGATCGTGCAGCGGAGCGCGGTGGTCATTGGGCCGCCTGCTCCCGCATCGTGATACGTTACATTGAGGCGGCAACCAAGCGACGCGCTGCCCTTTCCCCAAACTCTATAAAGGGCAGGCTTGATGGTACCGTTTGACCGTGTACCGGCACAATTACCTTTAACTAATCGTAACTATTACGTTCTGCGTAGAATCACTCCAATCTCCATTTTCTCGGTTATATTGTGCTGCTATATCCTATTGATCAATAGTTTTCTGCTGGTTTCTTTTTGTTGCGCTATGATTTAACCTGTTTGGTTACGTCGAACCATTTCCGGGTGTCTTCCGGTGATCATAATGCAGCTTCGAGCATTCATTCGTACAGATAGTTTGTTGTATTATTATTCTTTGCTGTTGATCAGTTTCAAACTGGCCACGGTATAAGTGGAATGGGATTAATTCCCATCTTTAGGGTATTTTAGTCCTTGCTGCGCACGTTCTTACAGTTAATAAAATTTCGTCTCCGGGGAGCGGTTAAAATCCGAAACTGAACTTCGAGTCATACTGATCAGACGACAATGCATTAAGCTCGCTGTACTAACGAATCTGGATCTGTCTCCCTTACAGAACCACCTACTTAAGGAGGGGCTGGTACCAGTGGAGCAACACTTCATAAATACGATTTACAGCACGAACATGCGCTACAATTCAGAGAGTCAGTACCAGCACGCATAAATCGCGCGTCAAACCGGCGCTAGAGATTTCCCGCCCTGACCAATTAGTGATGGGGCCAGCAGGAAACATCTGCACGAGTTAATCGAATTCCAGTGGATCTGCATTAGTGTCATCACATGCGACACTTAATTGCCTAAATGTCGACAACAACCTTCTACAACGCCCTCATCGCAGATGTATTATTACCGACGGCTGCCGCACGAATAGGCGACGAAATGCCGTGACGACCTTTAAGTCCGGCACGCTACTGAGAAATCATATCTGGCACAACCCGACGGGTTTCCACATTTCTGCTGCCAGACATATTTATTAAGCTCGTTACCTTGCATTATCGCTAATCAGATCAACCTGATGTTCATTAGGAAAATCTAGATAAACATGAAATAAATCTGCTCTCAACCAGGCGGCTTATCCTGAGCCAATACTGCCCATCCAGTCGCGAGTATTCCAAAACCTGGTATAAAACGGTCTGTCTCTGTAGCAAGCGATACAGCCGCGAAGCATTATACGCCGTCCACGCTTATATCGTATCCACTATCCAGTGCTTGTATTCTTGTTTTCTTGACCTTTCGTGCTGTATTTTTAGAACCATGACGCCGGTAAAGTTGACCGTGTCTGTCAATGTTTTTCTCGGCCTCTACATCCTCGGCATCTCCGCCTTTGTTAACCGTTACGCCAGTCCCTTCCAGGATTCCAAACAGACGACGAATGCAGCGCAAGTGTTTCCGGCATCAGCTGCCAATCGGGCGTTACAACTACGGTCGGATATTAATCGCTACGCTCGTACAGATATGTTGTCGGCTCGCCGGATGACGGCAGCCGGCGGATTCGTACCGCGTCTCCCGCCCCATCCCGTGAAGAGCCGGCTTCCCCTGTTTGCTGGAAGTCTCATCAGAACCCTGGACCCCTCCACAGACGCCCGCTCGCTGCGGTCCTCTCCGGACAGATTTTCCCCGCACCATGCGTTCCTGCTGCCGGAACACACGTATAAAAACCAGCCACCGCGAATTGGTTGACATTTAACGGGTATTCGATATTAACCAGGCTTTAGTTTTTTTTTTTATCTCGTTTACGTATTGTTCCAGCGAACTATATTTAGTTATGCGATGCAAAGAATTTTATGTGCAGTTTCTGTTAGAAAAAAATTTTTGATAGACAATCTGGAGAAACTAATAAACTGAACGGATGAAAATACTAAACACATATTCGCGTAATCGCGTTTATACAGAACGATAGTCGGCCTCGGAAGAGTCGGAACGGGAAAAGCAATTGTCCGCACCGGGTTACCCTCGTCAAAATGTATTTTCTAAAGTACATCAAAATGATCGAACATCTCCGCAATCTATCACAAAATATATCCTCGGCATAGTTTTGGCAGCCGAGTAGAAATCAAGTTTTACATCAACATCAAAATTTGTATCTAAGTTAGCCGTCTATGTTGGCGATAGCATAAGCTAAATTTTATTTTCTTAACCAACATGAAATTATCACCGTTCGATGCAAATAACAATGTTAAGATAATGCATCTAAAGCGAAAGCTTTGTCGGTCGACCGACATTGGTCGCCTCGCCACATAACCTAAAAAGCGATTTCGATCCATGTAGCCGTTATAAAGTATCAAAGTTTTTCTGCAAACCTTGTTACGTAATCATTTATGAAACACATAGTTTCTGTGCAAGAACAAGAAGATCCGTCGACCGACAAGAATTATTACCTCAAAAGCAAAAGTCGTAAAAACGAAAAAGCAAAAGTCTTTTGAGGCAAACTGCGCCAAATTAACTAGTTATAAGCAAGTTTTAACTAATTAATTTTTAATTTTTAACTATTAAGTAGTGTACCAGCGCTTGCAGTTATTGCTACAAAAAATGAATGAGCATGTTGGAAGCAAAGCTTTAACGACAAAGTTTAAAGAATTACGCGAACTGCACACGCGGTGATTGCAATACTTTTGCTGCAGACTACGCTAACTACAGGCCACTTTTATGCTGCTTCTGATTTGCTGTAAGGCAATTTCAATGTTCAACCCCAGTTCACGTTCAACGCCGTTGCGCTCAAATTGATTTCGACAGCCAGTTTTAGTAACGGCGATTCTCGACTTTCTCGCAGTCTTACCACGGTGTTTCCAGACGATTTGTGATTTTGTTTTGGTCCTCGACGATTTTTTTGGTTTTATGGCTGTCGACAGCCAAATTAGATTTTAAAACGTCAATGGTCATTGCAAGCACTGCACGTATTGCTATTTTGTGCGTGGAGCTTGTCAGGCGCGGCATGTTTTGAAAGCAGGTGCAGCACGTAGCCCAGTCTGCACTGATGTGAGGACCCACACCAATGTTGGAGAAGTCCTAAGGTAAGAGCTAAGCGAATAGCCTTTCACACCAAGCATCATAAAATAAAATGTTTCGAATTATTGTGTATTTTTTATTTGCAGATCCTTATGAAGCACTGCGTCGCTGAACGATTGTGCATGACGACATGCAGTAAAGCAGCAGGTAATCGAAGGGTAGAATGAAGCGCTATTTTGGCTAGAAAATCACACAACGAGTTTTGATTTATGGAAATAAGTAGTTTTTTTTTGTAACCATAACTTTTGTTTTTTCTTGTGGACTGAAAACGTGAGTAGAAAATTAGGCAACGTAAGAAACCGATCAAGTTATATTTTTAATGCAAACAATTTTTCTTTAGGTTTTCTTAATGTGCAACAATGACAGATTTAACGTACTAAAATTTTGTTTTGTTAATTCTTTTATCGCCTGATTGCATGTCGACATGCAAGTGCTTTGACGATAAGTTATTGCGTAATTAGGGATGCGCTGATGATAAGCTTATTACGTTTTTGAATTTCGCTTTGCCACCTTTCGCAAGCATTTTTTCTTATTTAATTTTTTAAATGTTGTATTTAGAAAAAATAAAAGATAGTAAATCAGCGTGGTGTTTCTGCACTGTACTGATCATTGAAGTTTTACTCGTAAAAACAATTCAAAATTTTTCTTGTCGAAGTGACGATTCTCAAATTTGTTTTGGCCAAATGCTTTCGTAACAGAAACCTAATGCTTAATACAAGATATTTTTCTTAGTAACTGCATGTCAACATGCACAGCAATTTTGTGGGTGGTGTATCAAAAGTCTATGCATATGGTAGCGAATTGTTGATAGCGTTTTGTTGATAACGAATGGTCTTACGTGAATGAAGGAAAATAATGTGCGACGAAACATATCATATGCACGCAAATAAGCCGTGCTGATTTTAAATGTTTTAGAGGGCAGATGAGTTATTGCTCTATGCAGCTCCATGGCCGGAACGCAAATTTAGCGGAAAATGCGTGGATGTCGACATCCATCATTGTACTTGTTATCCTGGTTGTAATTAGCTTTTGATGCATTTAGTAGCCGCTTTTGCTGTCCATGCTGGCATTTTGGAATATTTAGCACTCTGTCAGTTCACCGTTTACGCTCCTGACGCATTATCCAATTCGATTTTTTGGTCAGATTATGTTGGTGTTTTCATGAGAAAGTATGTCTCGGATGTTCGTTTTTTTATGTAGTACCAGTTATGTGGTATATGTCGAAATAAATTCAAAATGATGTTCTATATCTATATCTAAATGTTTCATATTCGTAAGTATTATAAAACAAGGAGATCATCTGTAATATCTAAGTCTAATTCAAAAGTTACCATTAAAGTATATGGTTTTTCTGACGAGGGAATTATCAGCGGTCGGCCGAGAGTGAGATACTCTTTCAAGGCAAGAATTTCATTCTGGTAGTTCTAAAAATTGACTGTCGAAACCGCTGATTAAAAGAACAAGCACTATACGAAGCCATAAAGGCTTGGGAAGATAACATCTTCATGTGAAGCACCAATTGCTAAAGTTTCTTGTGTTTCCGTACGCTTTCTTATGTTTTCCTACGTTCTCCTATGCTTTCCTGTTTTCTTACGTTTTCTATAGCTCTTCTGTTTTTTATTTTCTTACCTTATCTTTGTCACGGTAAATGAAATTATAAATTTGCAAATTTGCAATTTTTTGCAAATTTGCTTGATAGCGATGCCGAGCGCTATGTTGTTTAGTATTAAAAAACACTTGAGAAAAACGAGGTTTCATTTTGCTGTTGCTTGCGGCTACTAGCGGCATAAGCAATGTCAAGGGCAATGTGAACCATAACCACCATGTACCGTAAACAGAATCGCACCACTAACTCATATGCTCTCTTTAAGTGAACAGCATCGTTCTCGGCATTGTTATGGTTATAATAAACATGTTTTCACTACCCAATATGGGCTAAATAGTAAACACCATAAAAGTGTTGAAGCCACGCAATTCTAATAAACCGCATCGTCATCGTTTTTTGTACACTATACATCCGGAATCCGTTGAGTGCATAAAAATAAAAATCCAAAATCACAGTCCAACAATCACTGCTTTCAAACTATAACGCTGTTCCTGGGGACATTTAGGGAAGGTAGGGAGGTGGATATTTCTCCGGGTGATTCAGACTATTCGAGTAGACAAACTGCACCCCGGGGTGGGCGATCTGCGTGACCACCACCGTCGGTTGGTTGAGCTGCGACACGCCCCTTCCGGCCACCACCATCATGACACTGCTAACGATGATCATCAGCCAGAGGAAGGCCAGGAGCGGGCCGGCGATGTTGGCGGTGTAGGTGGCGATATAGACGGCCAATACACGCAGCGTTCCCGTTAGATCCGCCGGGTTGAAGGTGGTGAGGAAGACGAAGAGCCAGATGACCAGGGCTATGGCTGATAGAAAGGACACGATGCTCAGCGCCAGCGAGGTCACCAGGGCGCAGCGGCTGGGTTGGGCGGTGGGGCGGAGACTGGAGGCGGCCGCCATGCCGAAGACGCCGGTGATGATGTACAGGATGCCCAGAGGAAGGGCTGAGAAGCGGGTCAAAGTGAAGCCGAAGAAGGATAACGCTGAAAAAGATTCATCGGCTCATTAGTCTTCGAAGCGTTTATCAGAGGAAACCCAGTTTCTTCTGTTTGCCGCATATCGGCGCGCCGTTTATTATTAGTGTTTTGACGTTTTTCGCAATTCGGACAAGCTCACAATAAGGATCCGCGTACGGAATACCCGCGACACGACATTCTCTGCGCTGTTTCAAAATATAGAAAACTTGATATTTTTTTATTAATCCCGTGTATAGATATTAAGCGCGATATTTTTCACGGACTCGTAATGAATTAATTTTGAAAAGATATGGCCATGTGGGACAATGTTGAGAATACCGTATTTCTGGTGTCCGGTACGCGGATCCATAATATTGTAAAAATGCACGGAATACGGGAAACTCTGACGTATGAAACGGTATGACGTATGTACTGAGAATTAGCTATACTTTTACTGTAGTATACTTCGAATACTGCCTTATATGGGCTCCCCTTATATTACACTCCCTTATCTGGGCTCCCGGCTAGTTAGCAATACCCGTCAAATTATATTCATCGGATTTATAGCAGAACCCTTTTCGTAACATATTCTTTTCGTAACATGTTCTCTCAACCGGATTTACCAGTGAGCACACCAAAGAATTCCGAAGTTTCACATCCGAATTATATTTATATAAGTATGTTATTTACATATAATTTTCATTAATTTCAACCGGATTTGCCAACGAATAAACTGAAAAATGCCAAAATTTTATATCAAATTATTTTTTTAATTATCAATTAAGTATTTTAAATACGTAAATCAAAATTTTCAATGAGTCACAATTTTCAGTCACTGATAACAGCTGCGAAGTGTGAGTAATAACGTAACCGCCCATGGAGAGGGTTGCTCATATTGCTAGGGAGCCCAGATAAGGGAGAGTAATATAAGGGGAGCCCATATAAGGCAGCAATCGAAGTATCTCTGATAGCAATGTTTCCTTCAACGAGTTTAAAACAATTTATTATGAGAAAATATTGTCAAAAAATCCAGAAATAAATTATTTGTCCAAACGAGACTTACAGACGATTTCCGTTACAAGAACGGCTATTCCGCAGCAAAGCTGCACGGCGCCCAGAAAATTCAACGGTCCCGGTTTTAGAAACGACATTTTCCCTTTGCCGGCGTTCAGGTCATCAAACACAGACGAATGGCGCATATAATTTTATCCAAATGTAATCACAAAAGGCAACCGAAGAACATGTGATTTTTAAAGTAACCAATGTTTGCTTAATTTCGGATATTATATAAGTTCATTATATCTCTACTTGGCGGAAACGACTGTTAGGAAGAAAATAAACAGCCTCGACGTTTAAATATCCCGAACGGTGAATTAGCTCAGATCGTTGAGTTGAGTTACAGTAGTGCTGAATACCTACGGCGTATTAAATAAAACATTTAGCGGAACTGACGTGCAATACAACAACACTAGGAAGTGTTATGAATGGTGCGCATGATGAGTCAAAAAACGTGCGGTGAAGTGTTGTTGGAAAAAACCTGCTGGTAGACGGTAAAAGAAAACCAGCGATTCTCAGTACGCCAGTAACCGCTAACCGGCATCTGTGTGCGGTGTAACAGAATTAAACTACCTTGTACTCGGTAATGTCGCTGCCATTAATAAACCCGTATGGGCATTGTCAGACAACAGCCGGCATTTTGTCAGTACGCTTCCGCAACAATGCGATACAGACACCGCTTACTCGATTACAACAATTTGGCGCAAAGCTGCTGTTTGTCAGAAATCTAACCAGGAGCGCGATCCGCAAATTCGTGGGTACTTTGCTGCAGTAATAAGACCGATGCCTCTCCGTTACGGTATGTTGTTTGAGAGAGGCTTTATCATTATTAAGAAAGTCATTTGATAGCGAACCATTCGCCAGGTTCCAAAATTGTCATCGGGAGAAGTTTGTCTTTTATATGTGAATAAGATCGAACGCACGGCAGGTGTACGTTAAAGTATCACACCCTATTGATACGCGTGTTTAAAAGAATGGCCCTTTCGGGTTTGGATGGCCGTGCCAGGCCCGGAATGCCAGGTATAAACGAATTCATTCATATAATACATGTATGTTCACTGATAATTATACCTGTTATACATGTTCTTCTCAACGGTGTTCATAGTATCCCACCGTTTTCTGATGTTTTTCTATCTTTACTGTCGCTTTCAAACCGTAGTATTCATTTTAATACGCTACCGACTATAGCATTGTGCGAAACTCAGATCGTTGTCGGTTAACCAATTATCACAGGACACAGGTGTAGCAGCATCGCGTCCAATACAATAACTTTATTAATAAACGACCAAGACGTACAAATCAGTAAACATGCATATAATATTATCATGATATATGTGTTAATAACACGGTTAAAACTTTTAACGTCGCAGCAGAAAGAGCTCATTAAACTTCTCTACTCCTTCCATTGTACCAATGACTGAAGCCGCGTTATTATTGCGTTATCGCGTCCAATCCGCTTAGTAGATTGACAGATGCCTGTCGATGATCACCCTGGCGAATGATCTTTCACGAACCAGCAGCACACCGCTTTCTTGCAGCAGCGGCATACTCACGTTGGCTTTGGCTCATCGAGTAAACCATTCTTAACCACATCCTAGTGCAGCACTTAATGCGCGGCAGTTCCGTTAATTATTGACGTTTTTTATCCACTAAGTGACGTTAGACGGTTCCGGTAAAAAATGAGCAATGTCTGTCAAATACCAGAGGTGCCGGCGCACGTGTGTCTGGTGACACACGACACTTCGCAATCGCACCACGTCCTTGCTCAAACGAGACGAACAAGGCGTGCCTCAAAGAATAGCGGCGTCATCTTCATTCGGAGAAAAACAAAAAGGAGCAGAGGTTTTTGACAGGGGCGGCATGCATATATCTGTACAGCAGTCAGATGTGTTTTTCATCTGTTATGTTCTTTTACAGCATTGACCCTTTTTTTAGTTTTTACTTCAGAAAATATTATTGTGTTAGCTGACCTGAACGCACACAGGCAGGCAGTTTGAGTGAGTCTGCACTTTCTGATTGGCTGCAGAACGGAAATATTATATTTTCATTATTATTGAATGAGCAGACAACCCGTTTATACAAGAAGCAACTACGGTACCTGTGTAGCTAACCTGGAGGTTCTGATTGTTTGCAAACGAAGTGTTGCAACGCCGTCCTTATCTGTTTGTTTTACAAGCGATTGTTTGATTTGCGCAATTTGATTAGTGCGATAACGGTATAGTCACGCTTTCGATAAGCCGCTGTTGTGCCAACCTCCTTATCACAGGTTGCACAAGAAGTGTAGTAAGCTAAACCTTCTCGGTCTCATGACTGCGAATGCCGCGCGCCGGAACCGTAACAACGGTTTTATGCTGCGCTTGTTTAAACTGCAACTTGCTCATTATAATAATGGCACAGCAAACGTATTTTATCAAATATACGCACTCTGATTAACAAGCATCTAGCTACAAACAATTATGCTATAGAAATATTTCTCTAGAAACACTGCAAAACAAGACCATCGAAATTGTATGACCACTATAGGTATTCACCGTAAAGAACAGCGATCCCAGGCAAAGAATATTATATTATCGCCGAACTGTCTTAGACTTTGGGTGGGTAGGGGGCCGGTTGTCCAGCCGGGTAGGGCTGCGCCCCGGGATAGGGCTGCTGTCCCGGGTAGGCCGGCTGTCCGGGATACTGCTGCTGCACACCGTATACCATGCCCGGCTGCTGCACGACATGTGTCACATGCGTGACAGTGGTGGTGGTGGGGCTGGACGACATGACGCGGGTGGCCATGACGCAGTTGACAATGCTGACGATGAAGGTGATGAGGAAGAAGACCAGCGCGGCGGCCGTAAATCCCAGCGGGCCCGAATCAAAGTAGTAATAGCCCCCGCTATAGTTGTTGATTACCGAATACCCGGCCACCAGGATGCCGGTGTAGATGATCAGGGCGAAGGAGTTGAGGATGGACAGGATGCTCATCACCAGTGAGGTGATGGCCAGGCAGCGGGCCGAGCCCTGCGACCGGTTGGCGGCATTGCCGGCCGTCACGCCGAAGGAGCCGGTGATAACGTAGAAGATCCCGAAGATGAGGGGCATCCACGTATTCCATGAGATGCCGTAGTACATTCCCATATCTACCGATAGTATGCAGGTGGTTAACAACGTTATCGCATCGTACTGGCTTAGGATACCTATTACCTAGAATTATAATGGTGAGTTTATGGTCTTCGCGCGACGATAAACTTTCCATATTCATAATGAACCAGTACAGCGAATTGAGCGAATCAGTTTTTATTGACATAATTATATATGTATGTTTAATAGTAGGTAAATTTATAAATACATGAATAGTAGGTAAATAACCGTAAATTTATGGGATAAAGCCCGTTTCCTAATTGTTGACTCAGAGGGGAAGAAAGAGGTATGGCTCATACACAGCCTTACAGAGTGTGAGAATGCTTCGGCTGTGCGCATTCACATGGACCCATTCAGATAAGGAATAAAATCAGTGTGCAGCAGTAACACAGCAGGTGCTAGTACAGTGCGCAAATAACCACACTCTCTGCAGTAAGTCTGAACCAAAAATTAGGAAATGGACTGTAAATCCTTAAATCCTGTATATCCTGTCTATCCTGTACTATTTGAAATTATTTTTTATTATTTTTCTCGTATATTTAGATCAATTTTTTATTTGTAGGTGATAAGAGGCGTTTGCTATACGTTACCGGCCAAACTGACACACCGCTGCATGCAGCCAAAACCAGGCAAGAAGAGTTACATACTGTGCGTCAATAATATTATCAAGCTCTCGGTCTCGTCTATGGATCAGTATTATGTTGACTGCATTCACCGGTCACCCTATGCCGGTGGAATACACACACGACCGTACGGAACTTACTTATGATATCAATAAGAATCAGGACGAGTCCACAGAAGAGCTGGGTGCCGCCTGTGGCGCCAATGCCTGAACCGTTTCCCATTCTGATCAGAGGAGGAACACAATCACAAAAAAATTATATATTATGAAACCACCCGCGTATAGCCGCGAACCAAAGGTGCTAGAGCGTTAAGTGGAAGTTAATGAAAAAGTGATAGTTGCTGTTAGGAGATTAAATGGCTCGTTTGAACAATATGTTGAAGTAGCGATAAGGCTGAATAACTCATGGAACATAACTGAATCAACAAAAGCAGACAAAACACGGGCATTGTTTGAGTACTGTTTATCAGGTGGACATTGGCGTCAAGGTTGCCAGCATCGCTGCAGTCTGTATGAAGACCTACGTTAAAGCTATCAGTGCATTTTGTTTACATAAGCGAATTAATCGGCTTTCTTGTCAGGAAATTGTTCTGGCTATCGGCGACATTGAACAATGCCTGTTGCAGCATGAGTGTACATGAACAGCGTTGTTTTACGCACGGAGATAGCCGAGCGACGCGGCTGCCGGTACGAACTGCAAAATCCCGGTATTATTGGGGATGCAGTTGCGTTGGTGTGTAGATTGTCTGACAGTGCATGAGCGTACATGCTAATCTTCGGCTGGACTGGTCCAGGAATAGCTCAATGTGGCTGAGATTCATTTACAAGTACTTCATGGCGCCCACGAAATCGGCTTAATATAATTCTGATGCCATGTAACGCAGCGCTAACCTAATGCCGAACGAGGCTTTGCTTCAATATGTATTTTTCAATAATACCATATATACTGACTACTGAGTGTTTTCCATAATTCAAGCATTCCAGCGGCTGTTTTGTTTTTGAAAATTAAATTTCAGCTGTGCGTATAGTAATCTCGGTTCCCAGCAAAAGTTTGCGTTCCATTCTATAATTTAGAGATCTTATTTCCAAGAACTAGCCAGTAAAATGGACAGAAATCCATACCGCGATGGAACGATGAATCATAATTGGGTGGTTTTATCGGTCGTACAAATACTAACGCTAGAATAATTATATAATATCACAATGTCGCTTATCAAACAAAACAACGAATTCCCAACATTTTCTATCGAAGCACTTTTATGCAGAACGATAAAATTGCCGCCAAAAAATAAAATCTATTTGAGGTTCCCGCCACCACTACCTTGGCTGCAGTCGTACACCTTAAGGAGACACAGCAGAACCCGGTGCAAGCGCTAAACCTTGGGCACCGGTTGTCCGGCGGGGTAGGCATAGGTCTGCGTCTGCTGTTGCGCGTTGTACACCACCCCCGGTTGCTGGACGACATGCGTGACGTGCGTGACCGTGGAGCGGCTGGAGGACATGGCCCGGCTGGCCATGACGCAGACGACGATGCTCATGAGGAACATGATGATGTACATGGCCAGGGCCACGCCGCACAGAGCGGCCGCCGCTGCCGCCCCGTAGCGGACACCGAAGACCGAGAAGCGGTCCAGGACGGCGTAGAAGGCCACCCACGTGCCCACATAGATCGCCAGGCCGAAGGAGTTGAGGATGGACAGGACGCTCATCACCATGGAGGTGATGGTCAGGCAGCGGGTGGAGCTCTTGGCGCGGCTGACGGCGCTGCCGGCCGCCACGCCCAGCGACCCGGTAACGATGTAGAAGATCCCGAAGACGAAGCCCGTGTAGGTGGTCACGGAGAAGCCCTTGTACATTCCCATACCTGCACAAGCGAACCGGGAAGCATTAACAACTTAAACCGAATTTTAGTGCACGTTCTCTTATCACTACGTCGATTTTTCTCCACAGTTGATCGCTTTCGCTACAAGCCCATCTCACAACAGAGTCACGACTGTAAGTGGGAGAAAATGAAAACATTGGCTTGAGCCAATCGGAAGGCTTAGGCACGATGCGCCATTGTAATCTGATCATTCTCTAGACGAATTGCGGCGTGCTGTTGCTGGATGCCGAGAAAATATCGTAGTACAGTGGCTCCAATTCCGCGATACAGTGATATGTAAATGCGGGCTTGTGGCTTCCTTCAGTTTTGGTATGACCGTGACTTCGTTGTGAGATTGATGGGCTTGCCAGTAATTGCTCACTCTCGTACTGAGCAGTTTTTTTGAAGGTATAAAATTTTCAAAAATAATTTTTCTGACAGTGTTTTCTTTGCATTAAACGTTCACGCATAAATCTATCAATCACAATTACCAATCTCACACCAAAGTACGTTCAGAACGGTTTAATTCTACTGCTGGTTTCTACGTTTTTTTTTTGCTGAATTTTGGACAGTTGCCTCAAGGGGACAATTTTTCGCCTCGTTTCGCAAATTATTAATAATAATAATATCATGACAACGTCGACGACATTGTCAAACGCAAACGAAAATATCACTATCATGATTAGGAAGTTATTTCGATCTTTCTCTGAGGTTTAAGTATGTAGAATCGACTTACTGCTAATATCAATGACAATCAGAATGAATCCCAAAAAGATCTGTGCGCCGGCCGTGCCGGATAAGGCTCCACCATTGGTCATTCTGGACAGCGACAGTGCAGATACTAAGCACACACAAGAAAATCCGGACGCAAATATACAAGCAGCAAAAAAGCATACAATGATAAGGCAAAATCGCGGTGTCGGTGTCAGTGCTAAGGCGACAGCTGCTATGTTGCTGATTAAATGGGTTCCTAAACAATGTCCTGCCATAACGATAACCACATAGTCAGGCAGTACAATGCCTCAACAACAGCAGACAAACCCGGGCATTGTTCGTGTAGCGCTTATCGGTGGATGATTATCGTCAGCCGTCAAAGGTTGCCAGTCTCCTTACGTCCACGTTATCGGAGCATAAATGTATAGTTTCTTTGAGTGATTGATATTTTTGTGTAAAGAAATTGCTCTACTTATGAGAAAGACAGAATAAACAATTCCACTTGAGATATGGATGTGCATGGACGCGGTTGCTTACGCATGCAGATAGCAAAAGAACACGCTTACCGGTACGAATTCCATATTGCCGCGTATTTTTTATAATGATAATTTGCGTTAGTGCATTAACTGTCTGGAATTTCGGTGACGCATGTTAGTCTTCACCTGCGCTGGTTGACAAGCAGCACCAAAATCGTTGCTCCACAGTATATGCCACAGAGAAAAATATCTTGAAAATTTTTATTACCTGACTACATCCTATGTCTCCATCCTCTGGTAAGTCTCCCTACGTTTCTCAGTCTCATAACTGAATCGGTACTAGTAGTAGTGCGATGCGTTGATCACCACAAAAGGCCATCATCATTCACATTTATGGGTGTTGGGTGAAATAGTTTAGGCTGCAAAGGTCGCACCACACCGGTTATTTTGTTGCGCCACTCCATACCTACTCTAGAGTAAGAACACCTTCTTATAATTAAAGCCAGATTAAGCATCTCAATCTCTGTAACCCACAGGTCAACATGTGTGTGTTACGCGATTCTGTACGCTGGCGCGAAACGTTGTCTGAGCCTGCCCGAAAGCTGAATCTAAACCGGGAACTTTGGTGACGGCATCTGGGTCCATCGCTCTTTCATCGAAAACGAGCGCTACATTTAGAACAATTAGGAGCTTAGTGTTAAGAGAACAATCCGAGAAAACAGCAACAAACGCACCATTTTGTAAAGTTTAACAACAAAAAATTCAACAATCAATAATCATCACAACGCCGATGTGCTGTGATTATTTCGTAGGCATGATCGGGGTTAAATGTCCGTTGGTAACTTCAGCATTTCGTGGCCGTTTTGCCGGTAATCTGCAGATATTCACCGTGGCGAAGAGTATCTGTGCAGGACCAACTAGCAGCAGCAGTAATTCAAAGACGAGATTGGCGTGTAGTATCGCGCGTTCGGCCGACGAGTCGCTGCCGGGTCCCCTGGGGACAGTGGCGCACACCATCGGGCCACTAAAAAATAATTTATTGGTAATCTGTTTGCGCGCGTTCTTAGCGGGCCAATCAAGCACAGTGTAACGCTTTTTGACCATGTACAATCAATAAATGAAAAAATCAGATTTTGCGTAACGGAAGTGGACACAATTAGTCCATAGAGGTGGGCTTCAAGTAGGCGTACGAAGCACGCACGCTTACCCGCCGTTTTTATCGGTGTGACAGTTGCGGTGTTCACTGGGAACTTCCTGGACCGGTTGCGACGCAAACACGGTGGATAACGCCAACGTCGTGGCTACGAAGAACAACGACATCGTGCTGAGAATCACGGTGGCGATGATGAAGTAGCGCCGGTCCTGAGGGTGTGGTCCGGGCGGCCGGCCACTGATGACGCCGGCGCTGCCCACCAGCATGCAGAACACGCCCAACCAGAAGGCCAGGGCGGTGTCGCTCTTCAGGGTGGGCGCCAGTTTAAAAGCTGCAACCAACTTTGATTAATTACGTGTCAATTTCGTAATTCAAAATAACTGAAAAAGAGCGCACAGATGAAACGTCGCACGCAGCTTACGTTAATCATCACCAGTTCGCCACGTACAAGTACCAATTGCAATACCAATGCAATACCAATGCAAGAGCAAAGTACATAGTAACAGCTAGATGCACACAATAACTATAGTTTAATAAAAAATCTTTTGTACAACTTTGTGAACCAAAATCTGATACGTACAAAATCAGCAGGACGTAGAGCAATAAGTAGGTTAAATTAAATTAACATCTTGCTCTTCAATACAAAAATCACAGTCTACAGTAAGTGCTCTGCTGTGCTGACTCACACAGCTTTTCCTCATAAGCTATAAAATATATGCATGGTATTATTTAACCAAAAAACAGAAATACCTGTACAGTAGCTAGTAATTAGTTCTACAAATTTATTTATTTTCAACTATAGCACATAAAATCAAGACTTGTCAGCATGTAAAGAAATTCCCTTCGCCGAGTACCGACCTATGATATTGGTCAACACCAGAGCATATCCCAGGATACACTGCAGACCTCCCAGAAACAGCACCATCAACGGCCGATACGTCAGCAACACCATGATACTGACACCTTACGTTATTCGCGACAAAGTCTTCGTAAACTTGCAGGATTATTTACACAACACTGCACGTGGTTCGCAGCGGAAAAGCACACATTTCAAAGGAAAGTATCACAAGCGTGAAGAGCGTGTTGTGTGGCAGTAAGACGGCGCTGGCAGCAACCGCCGGAGGCAGCATGATGTAATCGGCCGTCACTATCTGGCCAGCCATCTCCCGCTGCAATGTGCTTCCGCTGGCCACCGTTCGTTGCGATGACACACGGTGCGGCACTCGAATAACGGTGCAGTCAGCACCGTAGCCCGGGAAAAATCACAGCACTGACTAATTACAACTTGTGTACAGTTGCATCAAAATTACAATTGATGCCTGGAGGATCAGCTATGTACTCGTATTCAACCGTGTTGTCAGGTTTCGCGTTTGTTTCTTAGCGACTACGGTGCATCGCTTTATGCTACAATCTTTTCACTTCTTTGAATTCAATGTCGCAATAAAATATGGCCTTTAATTGCGTAGAACAATCTGCTTAATTAGATGATTAACAATAAAATGCAGAACACTTTGTAGACGTCAAATTAAGTAAGAGGCCGTCTGATGCAGACGAAGCAACACCGTTTCTTAACTTCTTTCTCCTGAGCACTGGCATCCAGTTGCAGCAGTACAGTGTTGCGGCACCGGCATATAAGATCAGACGTGGACACGATCGGGCTTCGTCTTGTTACTCGGTTTGGTTGGTTTGGGCGGGACATAGCAGGGCAATTCGGAGAGGTTCCTCTTGTGGTGTGTTTTGCTGGTCTGATTGCCGTTACCGTCCACGCACCAGTAACTCACCCCATCATTTTGCAATGGCGCCCAGTCTCCGCTCTTCGTACAGTGTGGAATGTATCCCCTGGGGGCTAAACAGCATCACCTTTGTCAACTCTTCAATACAATTTTTACGCGCACACTAATAGCGGTATTTAATTAGCACACTCAGGAATGTTATTGACACCGTAATACTCGTATTATTGACTTTCGAAAAGAAACTTTCAAGTAATTTCTCATAAAACCATTATACCGAACAGCGCACCACTTGAATCACGAAAACAGTGATTTTGTTTGGTGTAAAAATATATCAGAAGTAAATAGGATTTGTGTTCTCGAAAAATACCGGCTGAACCTGGAACGTATATAATTTTCAGGGATAACCGGTGTTTTCCGGATCCGCATCAGCTTGAGATTAAAAAAATCACATAAACTGGTAAACTAATGTAATTTCGATTCGGAATATGTAAAATGTAAAAAAATTGGCTTTTTTGGACACTTACACGGCACCGATTGCGCCTCCTCCCTGACTTTCTTGCACGCACACAGCTGAACGTTTCGGTAACCGTGGATGATCTCTCCGGTCGACAGCGTGATCTTCTGAAAAACAAAGCAACGCGAGGTCGAGTCCATGCCGGGCGACTGGTGTTGCGCGGCTGACCACGGCACCATCTGGATGATCAGTACGATGATCAGACAGCCTTTCCCAATCATGGTCGGTGGCGAACGGAATTGCGCACGTCGCAAAATACTCTTGACAAACGTTCCAGTGCAGTTTCCTGTACAAGATCAACCGGCGCTGCGATATAACCGCTGTTAGGAAAATCGCCAATGAGCCTGCAGAAATGTTCATATCGGCAGCTTTTAATGTCGATATCCGGCATATAAGAATTCCACCTGCGGTTAATTGGCCGGTCCTGGGCGTTTAGTTCCATTTAGAATTGTAGAAAAAGCCAGGGGTGCGTGTGATTGTCCGGCCGCGAAAACCAGTAAAATTTCTGAATGTGGCGCCAACACGGCTATTCCGCTCCGCCGTTTCTTCATAGTATTGACCGTATGCAAACAATTTTGTATCGCAGTATGATAACTGTAATATACTCGTAGATGGCACTACTAGATGCAGTACGTCGTTTACGACCACAGACATCCTCCTGGTCGACGTCCTGGTTAATCGCGTGCACTGGTTTATTGTAGCGGCATATTGACATACTTTATGCGGTTATAATACTCAAGCAAACAGCGCAGGCAAAGGAATCTACCCGATCGAGAGAATGTGAAAGAAGCACTGCAAGAAAACATATTTTGCTGAGGTAGGTCACAGGTGTATTCCAGTCAACTTAATCTCACAGTGAAAACTGCTTTTCGTTAGAATTAAAAAGCTTAAGCAGATGGAGCACAGCAAAATGCAGAAAGTTGACGGACAACTACAGAGTAGGTAAGAAATGAGCGTCTACAACGGAAGCAAAGCCTGACGGATTCTCCAGTGTACTGACAGCGCTACATTTATGCGGCATCGCGGTGTTCGCGGCATGTTTAGTCGTGGAAACGGATGGGCCAGGTCATATTGGCCGGTACAGCGGGGGTGGTGGCCGGGGGCGCTACATAGCAGGGCAGTTCGGAGAGGTTCTTCTGGCGGCGCGGTTTACTGATCTGGTTCCCCTGGGAATCCACGCACCAGTAGTTCAGCTTCTGACCATCCGTCTGCAGAGTTGCCCAGCCGCCGCTCTCCGTACACTGTGGCCGGTAACCGTTGGGAACTAAACAGCATGACCAACAGCGTTATTATTTTGAGAGTTGTTATCCTTCCTATACCCGGACATCAACACTTTCTCGAAATGACTACAGAATTATTGTGTAATGTTGTGCAATAGAAAAATTAATGTTTTGTTTTTGTTTCACGTTAAAAAACGGGATAATTGTGTACTGATCTCGAGTACAAGCTTGTACAAAAACACTAATTATCCCGTAAACAATTTTTAAAAAAGGTTTTGTCATGTGGGATATTGAAAAACACGGATCGCAATACCTTGTCCCTGGTACGTGCCCGCTACGTAAATCCATAAATTATTGTGAAAATTGCTGGAATGCGAAAAAGTCAGAGTACGAGTATACATAATTAACATTACCGAACAAAGTATTAAACAAAACGTCAAAAATGTATGAATCACAACGTTATGCCTGGTTATTGTTAATAAAAAAGTAACAAATCAAAATTCCACTGCTTTTGAGATGTTAACTTTTTTGGTTAAGCGGTATTCCTCAAATCCGAATCAGTATTGGACGAACAAAACCATACAAGATACAGCATGGTTACTATTCGCATACAGTATCTGGTTTGTGGGACACTTACAGTACGGCACCGCTGCGGAATTCTCCCGGGCTGTCTGGCACGAACAGCCCTGCACATTCTGGTACCCGCGGATCGCCCCTCCCGCCACCGTAATCTGCTCCATATTCAGGCAACGCGCGGCGCGCGACGTGGCCAGTAACAGCTTGGACTGGCGCTGCACCGTCGCCACTTTACGGCCAGACCCGTGCACGCTCTGCAGGATCACCGCGATGATAAGACAGCCCGGGACTATCATGGTCCAGCACGCGTAGTAGTGTGACACTACCACGGTCCAGTGAAATTTCCTGTGGAAACGGAGCAACAGCAGCTGCTAACCACGGTTAGGGAAAATCGACGGGTAGTCTGGCGTTTGCCTAGTCTCGTTGGTACATCGGTATTCCGTGTGCAAGACCATTCTGCTGAGATAGTAGAACCGTTCTGGGGTGCTTCTTGTTATCAGCGTATTAAAAAGCGCCAACGTGTGTACAATGGCTACGGCTGCAGTGACAGCAAAATGGCGGACTTGCGTATTCAGCAGCATGTATAAGCAACGAAGTGCCAATGCGCCGCAGACTTAAGCATAACAAAATTCTCGGTTTACGGCCATTTTTCCCCCGCTATTTTCTTTATTACTTTGGGATAAAATTCCTCCAGAATGACTGCTTTCTGTGGTCGATAACAACAGGCGTAATTCAAAAGGGCGTACTTAATTAAATAGATTGTACTTACTGTCGCCGGTATATTTTCCGGCTTTCTTATTCAGCAGCATCCAGACCTGCAAAACGCTCGCAAGTCTGGTAGAAATGAAAAGTCTTTGAAACAATGTCTGGCGCAGTTGTTTTTCTTGCGAAGCTTTACCCGGTTTGCCACGGTTTTTCATTGCATGAATAGTTTTACCAGTATTGTCAATTTTGCGATTAATACTCACTTGCCAGGATAAGATCGACAGCATAAACATACTGACAAATTTGCATTATTATATCGGCAAAATAAAATGCAGATACGCATACGGAATTTACACGCAGCCTCGCGGAATTGCGTACATTTTTAAAATCGGAAAGTTTTATTAATTGCGCTCTAAAAGGGAGAAGTGTAGAATAATGGCGGCGTGCAGCCCAGCTTTCCGCCCGGGTTACGGTTAACATTATTCAGATATTGTGCTAAACAAGCAAAATTAATTGATGGGTTAGTTTAATTTTTTGCAGCCTCCGACTCCAAGCCCACTCACCCGCGATCCGCACCCAACAATAGCATAGTTTCATTATGAATGTTACTTATACGCTTGAATTATTATTCCGCGTTTATACATAATAGGACCTAAATCTGCAGAATATGGCTTCGATGCATGATGAGTTCTGCTCGTTGTCAGTTCGATTAGTGTACGAAATACACAGCGTCTGTATTGTTCCTTTTCCGGTTGAACCAAATAAATTTACATAAAAAATGTACTGTATTGACATGTTATAAAAAACAAGGCGCTTCAATAATGCAACCCGCATTGCACAAATTTAAAGAGCGTATAGGTATGTACTGACTGCTTAATGTAAAAATTAACTAACGCCGCAAAGTTGAAGATCGATACATTAATGGTGTATTATCAGTATAATTTATAGGCGTACCAAGTAATGTACCGGCACGATAACCAATCACTGAGCTGCACATGTAAAGCCCGCCCAATTGTTTGTACCGTTATCATAGATCCATTCACAACACGCATAAACTCGACTATCACATACCACTCAAATTAAATTCACTTCGTCTGAATAAACGGTTTCTTAAGACTTAAAAGCACAACATTGTAACTCTCCTTGAATGAATTACCGTACAATTTGCAACCTAAACCGTGTCTCTGACAGTGTCATCTGATGAATGAATTGCTAAGCATGTAAACCGAGCCGTTGTCGAAAGAACTAGTCGAATAAAGCAATCGCAAAGTATGGTTACGTTTTTACAGGATGCCGGTATTAATATTCCCGGTATTCTTCCTGATCCTTCTCCACACCCTCCCGCCAGCAACCGCCTCATCCAGCCTCCCGTTGGATGACGCCAATTTCCAGACGGTGGTGCGGGACAGCGCCGCCCCGTGGGTGGTCCTCTTCTACGCCAGCTGGGACGGGCACGCCAAGGTCTTCTTACCGGTGTGGGAGCCGGTTGCTGAGCGGCTGCCGGAGCGCGGCGTCTTCGCCGGGCAGTACGATTACGGAGAGTACCGCAACGGCGAGCGCAGCATGACGCGCCGGGTGGCGGATGAACTGCGGATTAAATACTCCACGGAGATCTTGTATTTCGCCCCCGGGAGAAAAGACCGGCCGGTGCGGTACCGCGGGGCGCGGCAGGTGGAGGCGATTGTGCGGTGGGTAGAGGAGAAGATGCGGGAAGCTGGGGCAGGGGAGGAGGAGCGGACGCAGTGTGATGATGGGCACGGTGAGGATCTCTGACGAGTGTTGTATATATGGATAATGGAACTATATATGCCGCATGTATAGTGTGATTATACCGACAAAATTTATTCGAGTATTAACTCTATTCCCGGCATTAATGTACACTGCACAGTGCGAATCTGCTGATAGAAAAATTCTGACCAGCATGATTATGGTCGTACAAACTACCCTGGACATTTATAAGCCAATTTCCCTGGAGTAATGTTGCTAATGGGATATTACATTCGTGGACCGTGGGAACTGCATGTTGACGTTATGAAGTTGACGCTGGCCGTATCACCGTCCTTATCCCAACGCGGATTGCGTCCTGTGTGTTGTACTTTTCTGGACTATACTAGTATATGATTTTGATTGGGTGATTCATGGTAGAAGTGGTTTTATGTAGCTACTGGTACTGTCGTACATATGCATCCTGTAAATTCTTATGGCGACAGACGCGACCAACTGTGAACCGTTACTAAATTTATTCTACAAGTATCAGTGCGCGAATTGATGACAATAATTAACGGCATTTTTTCATGTCGAATTCTGCATTTCAGCTGAAATGGACAGCCTGGTCCCGGCATGGCTTGCGCTGTGCAATGCGCTGTGCAACAATTTTCTGGCATCTTTTATCGTATTCGTGTTTACTAAACTTTACTTGCATTTTGGCTTCGGTTTGCCGCAATATTATACTCAGAATATTATTTGTGCAATCGCTATGCGCTTATTCCGCGATCTTCTGGTTATTATTCGCAACTCATCCACAACCTTCACCACTAGAAATTAATTATCCCCAGTTAAAAATAAATAATCCTAGAAATCTAATAACACTTGTCAAATTGGCTAATAATATAAATACACCCTACCCTGTACACCACAATTCACCGGGTTAAAGTAGTCAAGACAAAAATGGCACCGAAACATGGCACAGAAAAACATAAGGACCACGGCTCATAATTCGCAAGAAGACCATTTTGATGCGTCAATTCCACCGGACATGGAGCACGAGCAGTGTGACGTGAGCAGCGGCAATACAACTACAAAACAACGCTCACCGGCGCATTTAAGACAAGGACAGGCAGGAAAGACTCAGCGGGACGCCGCGGCGGTTAATTCCCCTCCGACGCCGGCACAATACAGCAGCGCGATGAAGATCACCACGACACGGGACAGACGGCATCCGGGTATCCGTCCGCTCCCGTTCAGATCCATCCCGCCCATGCCGCAGTCACTCGAATCCTCCTACACAATTCAAACTATTTTTTAAAAAAACTTTAATTAAAAACGATTAAAACCTACAGTCTTATAAAATGTGACGTTGGCTAAAATAAAAAGCGAGAATCCTTGTTACAGCCATTACACGCGTTTTACCAATTCAAGAACGTTCTTCACCTTTCCCCTGCGAGATTACTCAAGCCCTCACACTACAAGATTTCTTGTTCCACAACGCGACAGTGTACGGTCGACTGGTATGTTAAAAATCATTATTTTTTGTTTCAGCGTTTCGTTAATATAAAGATTTGGCGACGCATTGCGTAGCGAGTTTTGGCAAGTGTTCTATCATGCGCAAACGGGAGCCGATTTTTTATTTAATTTTGGGGAAAATATTTTTACCACGCTGTCAGTTGTTGCTTATGATTAATAAAATAACTAAAATGAGTAATAAAATAAATAAAGCATAACTGCATCAGAGACATTATGCAACCGGCAAGTGATCACAATCCAATGCAACCAAACAACTCTGCGATAAATCAATAAAAAAAACGAATAAATAAATTAAGGAAATATGTAGAGGATACACCAATAATTCAGGAGCGTCAAATTACAAAATTTATTCGAAAAACATGGGTATCCGACGACTGATGCGAAACACTAATGAATGTTAAACACGCCGTTATAATGGCCAATGAAGGCGGCGAAATTACTGAAGCCATCACTCTACAACATTCCCGGTTTGACATAAGGTATGTTTGATACGGTATGCTGGAACTTTAAAAATAAATAGCCAATGCAAACAGTGTATAATATATGTAAGTAATTTGACCGTTCAACAATCTCTGAAACAATAATTCATAATTTAACAGGCAACAGATTTATTACTGCGCAGTGTATTTATTGTGTTTGTTTTCCATATAACGCATAATACGCTGATATGTGTTCAGTATAAACATGTTTTACATTATCGATTTATGTGCGGATAATTTACTTCGATACGTATTTGTATATTTTATTTATAGAATTGTAATCGTTTTTATGCAAATAATTCACAACCGGGTAATATTCAGCCGTAATAGTTATGTATTTTCCGAATACTTGTCATTTATCTGTTTTTTTCATAGCACTGGTCAAACCACACTGAAATATTGATCCGCAATAAATATGCATTTTGCAAATAATTATTACGAGATTATTTTGATTAATTGTCCGAATAATTAATTTTTATGGAATTTGTTTTAAATCGAGAATAGAATAGTGGAGGACGTACATCGTGATGGAAGGGATAGCAGTCGTGGGGTTTGCGGCGGTAGGGGCGCTGGTTGTACTTGCGGCAGCGCCGACTAATGAGCAGCTGCTTCTCCACCGGCATGGGCGTGGTCTCCTCGCCGGCGGCCGCGGCGTCCTCCTCGGCCTCCTCCTCCTCTTCCTCGCCGGGGCGGGGCTCCTGCTCGTAGTTGAGCTTGCTGGGGAAGGTGTGTGCAGCTGCGTGTCGTTGCAGGGACAGGACAGCGGCCGGTCCAGCGCCACCAGGATCATATTGGTCGTCGACACCTTGAACACGCCCACGTTCCTGCACCCAACACCCCCGTTAACTACATTCGCTGCACACGATCGTTCATGGCGAAAAAAACCGGCAATTACAATTGAATATTCTACCCGGCGCCCTGCTTTAAAACGATCAATTATCTTGATTCGGCGCCAATAATTCAAAAATTAATTTTTAAACTAAGAAAAAATATAGAAAATCCTCGTACAGAAAATCAACGCTGTCGGTTGCTTACATTTGAATCGTTTTAATTAGCGTACGTGAAAATAGCTTCTGATACAACGAAAAAAAAAAACAAAATAGTGTCCAGTAGCGCCGTTCAGCTGCCACTGAATAAACCCAGCTGCGGACAAAACAGTTACCCGAAAATCTAAAATCTACAAGGAAAAAATGATGTTTTGAAATTAATACCGTCAGTTAATTTTGAGTCGGTAGCACAATATTCACATAGCAGTTAAAGTAACGCAGCGCACTGGCTCCACAGGAGTTACAGCGCATGCCATTATTCTACATTTTCTTCGCTCCCAACTGCCCTTATATGTACCGCAGACAGTGCAGCACTGTAATTTTCCAACTGATTTTGACCAGACCATAAAATCAAAAGGATTTTTATGTTTGACTGTATTTTGACTCAAGGAAGAAGAAATTTCTAGGCAGCATGAGAATTCGATTTCCTTATTTTACCGCCTCGATTTCGGTTGATTCTGATTTCTGGACAACGCATAAAACAATACAAATTTAAATATTTAAGTTAAAAATTTTTGCAATTAGAAATTTAAATTTTTAATATTTAAATAACAGGTATAAAAATTACACAGAAACTGAGAGAATTATATCTTCTTACGGTAATACTATCCTGACCAAGCACCACTTATTCGACACGATAAACAAGAATTTCATAGGAATCGTAGGCAATGGGCACTATAACTGCGCATTAAATTCCGTCAGTCTGTTATTTTTAAAATTCCGACCCAACGTACTTGGTACAATTGGCCAGGCAGCCGAAGGAGAACCTCGCCTTGACCTGCGTCCACTCGGTGTGGTAGAGATGGTACTCCATGTCGCAGGGGTACATGGGCGGGGCCACCGGCGGGGGGCGCTGGCACTTGCGCTCCTCCGCCGGCTCCTCATGATCATCGTCCGCGGCCGTCTCGTTGCCGTCGCCGCTGCCCTCGTCCTCCAGCGTCGCCTGCGTGGCCGCCTCCTCCAGGGCGTCCTCCTCCTCCTGCTGCTTGGTCTTGCAGCCGGGGTCGTCGCTGTACAGGTAGCGGAACTGCGGCACCTCCTCCACCTGCATGTCGCCCGCCACCGGGATAACACCGCGCAGCACCGTGTACAAGAAACTGCGGCACAGAAAGGCAAAAAGTCACTTCTAATTTCATGTTTACTGTTTAATGTTACCTTTTCCCATGCTATTTATTTAGTTTAGCACACAGATTTTTCTATTATTATTATCAGGTTTCTTTTTTGTTATTAAAACACTTAAACTGTCATTAATTTAATTTATCTATAATTTTTGTGAATTTGTCTTCTATTATTTATTATTTTATTTTCGCTGTTTTTTCTCACTAACTTTAGTACATTTTTTTTAAACAGTTACGGTAGTTTAGGTTTTTATTAGCTTTTTTATTATGTTATTCATGCCGATTTTTTTCTGTTTGCCACAGATTAAAACACAAAAGAGTCCAAAAGTGGAAATGCGTAGTGTAGTGGCAAACCACATACAGGTTTTCGCTGACCGTGTCCTTTGTTTACATTAAAATTTAGTGACACTAACTGGTGGTCGTTAGTTTTCAATTTCAGCTATCAATGTAGCCATTGTTTTTACTAGTAAATCAGCAAAAAATTAACTATAATAAATTTTCAAGTTACTTTTGGCACATTTCTTTTTCTTCGCATTTCCCGTGGTAGAGGAGACTCGGGAGACTTACGTGAAAATCTGGCCCAGCAACAGGCGACTGGCATGGAAGACACTGCCGAAGAGTGAGCGGAGGATGCTGGCGCTGTCCGAGGCGTCCTTGCTGGTGTTCTTGATGCACATCCCTTGGAAGTCGTACACTTTATACCTGCCCCCAACACAATACCCACACGATTATTATTATTATTATCACTCTACAGGAGCCAACTCCTTTCAATGGAGATATCTTACCAGGCTATTGGAAAATTTTTTTGCTTTGTTTAGAACGACATGAGAAGCTGTCATAAAATCCGCGCATAAATAAATAAAAAATTTCGACTAATCACACAACAATGAACAATGAGACAACATGCCCAGGACAGAGCGACAGGTTGACGAATAATGAAATATTATTTGACCATTTGATTGAATAATTTCATTATTATACAGACTACAGTACTGTAAAATTTATTTGCAAATATTTCTTGAAATCACCCAAATTACTGGCCAATCTTTCTTATAATTATCAAAATATCGGCAGATAACAGCGGTACCGTTTGGTGATGTTGTGGTGGATGAGCTGCGCCATGACCTCGCCGTGCAGCATACCGAAGAAGCGGCCGCGGTCGTCCTCCTCGCGGGTGCTGGTCACCACGTAGCCGCTCTCGTCCACCAGGTAGCACACTACGCCGGCGTGATGGCAGGAGAGGCACTGCTCCGCCTTCTTCCCCGCGCCGCCAAACAGACACTACCCAATTTAAGCATAAGAATCAGCACCACCCAGCTCTCGATAATCGTTACGGCATATATTTTTTTATTTACTGTATATATAAATGAATAGTATGAATGCAAATATTAATTACTAACTACAGTTTTAATAATGATCACAACAATCGTGCACAACATCACGGCAACCGCTAACTGGATGAAACGGTATACGGTAATGTACAAGATTCCGTAGAACAGTGGATAAATCCATTAATCATCACAGAGTGTTTCCAAATATATTAAGCCAAAATCCTATTCAAGTTGGCTAGTAGGGATTTACACAAATTACTTAATTCTGTTATACAAAGTATACGAGTATTTTTTTACTGCTCATGTATCCGCAACAACTATTTTGATACTCAACGAGGAATTTCATTTTTGAAATGTAGGAATTAAAATTAAATTAACACAATATTTTCAGAAAATTATGTGTCCAATGCGTAAATGTTTACGATTTGTGCTGATGAATAATACATAATTTTCGGGCGTTGACTGACCGTCTCCTTGGAGAGATGCAGGAGCAGACTGCGGACGGTGCGGCGTTTGATGATGATGCCGACGATGGCGGCGGGGGCCAGCTGGTTGCTGGTGGGCGGACTGGAGACGTACACCGGGACGGAGGCCATCACGCTGGACTCGTCCTCGTCGGGGTGGCTGATCGTGGGGGCCCCCGGCGCCGCCAGGGGCGTGGTGATCACCTGCCAACCACCACCATTTTATTGCCCGATAAATTTTGCACAATTTCCTTCCCTACCATCTCGCTGGCGCTGGACACGCTGCGCTCGTAGAACGACTCATCCACCGCCATACTGTGGAAGTCGAAGAAGTGCCTGTTCAACAAACCAAACCCAAATAAAAACAATTTCACCTCCATCTTTATGCAATTATCCCTTTTGACAATTTTATTTATAAATTTCGAATAAATTCTGCCATATTTTTATTTTTTCACCGCGAAATCCGCAAATGAATTTGATGTTTATTTTTTTACATTCCAAAGTCGGAGCTGTTGTCGGAAATCTAACCGCGGCAAAATCCAGAACACATTTCAAGTGGGAAAAAATTGTTAATGATTGTCTTAAATTGATCTGAATAACAAGAAACATGAAAAAAGAAAGAAATTTCACACACGTTTGACCATTATTAGACAACCAAGGCTAAATATCGTTGATGTGAAAGCAAAGATTTACCACTGTTCTACACCACTAGCCGAAGATTTAGGCAAGAAGAACTCAAGCAAATTTAGTGCTGTTTTAGTACTGACTAATGATACTTATTAAAGGATCAGCCATGTCAATTCAATGAATTCCACGCACTTATTTAATAAAAAAAATAATTAATGCAATTATTTTCTTAACTTAATCGGTATGTACGAGTACTTCAAGGAAAAAACTTTGATCTCTAAAGAAAACGGTTCAATAAATGAGTCACGTTAAACAATTTTACAGACTAAATTAAAACTGTATTTAAGAAACTCCTGGCAAAATATTTCCTGGACAGCGCTTTTTTGAGCCACCATTCTACAACTTTAGCCGATCAATGCAAAATGTGAGTTCGCTAAAAAACATCCCACGCACGGTGACGTACTTATTACATCAAAAAATTATGAAAAGATACAATTTTTCTAAATTCAATCAGTAAATTATAAAGTGAAATTTCACATAATAAAAAATGATTCCATAAATTAGCTATCGAAAAAATTTATAAGACTACATTAATCTGCATTTTACATTTTTATTAAATGAATGGCTAAATATTTCCTACAACTCTTGGTTTCACGCTTAGCCGCTATTCTACAATCACTAGCCGAGCAATGCAAAATGTTAATTCACTGAATTTTTACGTCAAAGATTGTCGCTGGAGATTCAACGAGGAAACGCGGCCTCAGTTTTGGGCACAATGGAAGGAGCGGAAAAGTTTAATGAAGTTTTTATGTTGTAAAAACTGTGATGTTTTAAATTATTGATTAAGATGTTGTACCACAGGTGAATAAAGTATTCACTGAAAAACATCCTATCACATACTTAATTAAAAAACCACTTACTGAATTAAAAAATCACGAAATAATACTTTAAATACTACTTTTTTAAAATCAATCATTAGATTATGCAGTGAAAATTTTACACTATAAAAATTATTCCATAAAACAGCTATAGAAGACATTTTTCAGACTAAATTAAACTGGGTTTACTGAATGCATTGCAAAATATTTTTACAAGGACAATCTTATACTCTACGAGAAAATTATATACTGGTTTTAATCATATAAACAAGACCACAGCAAAGCTGGCAAGAAAAACAACATCGGGTACAAATCATTCGCGATCAGCCAATCTAAAAGCGAAAAAAACGTCTTCGCTGTCTCTCATGTCATTAAATGTTCCGAGGACAGACACTGCACTTCCACGTTGTATCTCAATACTGATTCTCTGACGCAAAAACTCTCCCGACCGAGGGTTACGAAAAAATATACACGTACTTGTTGGGTTTGTTGTCCTTGCCCGGGGCGGTGGCCGCCGCCTCCGTGGCGTTGTTTTGGAGGGGCGTGATGCCGGTGGGGCCCTGTTCGTTGCGCAGCACGCGCAGGTACTCCACCGTGCCCAGGTCGTCGGCCGGCTTCTCCACGACGTCCTGCGGGAGGGGCGGCAGTTCCTTGTAGCGCGTCAGACCCGAGCGGGTGGCCGTGAACAGCGTCTCGATCTCGATGGGCACGCCGAACTGGCCGCTCCCGATGGGCTTCTCCGCTACCTCGCGCCAATGCGCCACCGCCGCCTCCGTGGCGCGGATGTCCAGCAGCAGCGACTCCACCAACTCCGCATTACCTAAATTAAAACAATCATTTTTTCCGCATTTATTTCAAGAAAAATCCCCGATAAATTCGACGGCTAACTGGTTTTCCAGAGGAAAAAATATCGTGACTAATCCCGGAATGGATACGCTCATATACCAAAATTCATGAAGAATTAAAAAGACAATACAAATTGATTCAGTATACAGAATTTGAATTAGGATCGATTTAATAAATAAAACTACTTAAATGATTTAACTTATTAGTTTAATTTAATTTTATACTTGAATTTTTACTTGAAATTCACCATAATTCACCGATAATCTTACAAAAAAATAACTACGACAAAATCAATGGCGTGTACAATGAGAACATTTCCATCGCAAGTACAGCACCGAAAATTCAAATTAAAACCACTGAATAAAATCCACCGATCTTCCACTACCGGCAAAAATAACACTAAAAAATATATCGCGAAATTCACACTGAAAAATACCCCGCCGGGAAAACCAACGCTGACCATTCTCCTTATTACCCTGTTTTCATGCAACCGCATTTGACAATAATAAAATTAAAAAAATTCGTCAGTTCTATTTTCCAAATGAGAAAGAAATTTAAACCTAAGAAAACAATCATAAAATTACAAAGAAAAAATCTCCGCTGGAATAGACGCCGAATTTCAAACCACCTTAACTTTCCCGGTTAGAATTCCTAAGAAACAAAATCAACTTACAGGAAATCGGCACCGCCGCCGCGTCGGCACCGGCGGCCTCCCCGCCCACCCCCGCGACGGCATTCCGCTGCAGAACCTCCACCAGGTGGGTGATGTTGGTGATGGTGGCGTTGCAGAAGGCCCACTCGGGATGCAGACGCCACTCGGTGTCGCTGTAGTCGATGTTCAACCCTGCCGCAACACCCGCATGTCAGTTCAACGGAGAACACGCGGATCATGAATAAATTACGCTGGAAATCGGCGAACGGCATCCGGCCGGTGACGCGCAGCAGTTCGGTGTTCGGGCGGCCCATCCGCGCCGGAATGGCGATGCCGACGCTCAGCGGGGTGTCCAGGATGCCGGTGTAGTAGTAGTTGTACTCGCGGACGTACACGCGCTTCTACAATGCGCAGAATTTAATTTAGATTAATTTTAATAAGTAATTCGGAATTAAATTTCTGGGCTACGGTACAGGGACACAAATACGGGATTTTCTGTATTTTTAATTTTGTTTTTTATAACTCACCCGGTGATGCAGTTGGCGCAAAATCAGCATCGTCTTCTGCCCGGTCAACTGGTTCACCATGTCGTTGCGTAACTGTCAGAAAATAATAAAAATTAGTCATTTAAAGTAAAAAAATATATAAATGTTTGTTATGATTATTAAATGATTATTAATTTGAAATTATTATTGAACAATTGTTAATTTTGAAATGATATAATCAATAATTTTAAATGAATAATAATTTATGATTAAATTATTACTGATGATTATTAATTGTAAGTTAACCATCATTTAAAATAAAAATGGATATTTTATAATCATCATGGTATAAAATTCTCTAATGCACAGGTATATAGCGAATTTTCGTATGGTTTTAATTAAGCTAATGGCAAGTACAGGCTTACCGGTAAAGAAAAAGCCCGTTCCGGCTGCATAGCACAACAAACAACGCCATGAATATTAGTAATTTTGTAAAATCAGGCGACGACGTTTCCTTACTGATGCCGCGTGATGATTGTCCTTGGGAATCTGCCACTCCACTTCCGACAGGTCCACTTCGTTGTAAGAATGCTTGGGCACTGCCGACGGCTTCACCTGCCGAAAAACACCCGCTTCCACGTCAAATCGCTTATTCCAAAAGGATTAATCGCAGAAAATGCAGCTACTGACCATGGCTTTCCAGAAGGGATGGAAGAGCACGTGACCGTTGTGATTCGTCCCGAAAATATAACTTCCGGCGCCCCACTACAACCCGAACGAAGGAAAACAATCAGTTCCTGTGTGTGGGCGCTTGAGTTAAATTTAATGCATTAACCGAAAAGAAACCAACAATATTTCCCGTTCTCAATCTTCAAATTTTCATTAACAATTTTATTTTTGATATTTTATATTACTTCCGGTGCAGCTCAGGATAAATCCTTTCGTGTGCGAGCAGTACAATAAAATTCATCACATTAACCGAAAAAAGCAAAAATATCATAATCATCAAATTTTATTTTAACAATTTGCTTTAATACGTTAGGTTACTTCCGGTGCCGCATTAGAATCAATGAGTGTGTGAAAAGTTAGTTTAACTTTAATATTAACCAACGAACCGAAAATGTTTCAAGCAACAATTTGTTTTAATACGTATTTTCATTTTCAATCTGATTTATATATATGCAGTCCCGTTTTCTATTTTACCATTCAATCTGCAATGTACTTCCATTTAGAAAAGATTTATTGTGTTTAGCAATGGTTTCCCATAAGGAAAACGCTGGTTTGAGACATACCCGGTAGGGTGTCATGATGGCGCGGATATCGGACACGTTGACATCGATGCCCATGACGCCGATTAAACTGCCCTTCTTCTCCTGCAGTTAAAGAGGCAGACGGTTGATCAAGAGTACGCCGGAAGTGAGAGCATCGTGTGCAGAAACCTACCGCCGCCAAAGAGCGATTGAAGACCGGCTGCGCCACGGAGATCACCATTCCGGCATTCGGCTAACCACACACACAAACGATATCATCACATTCCATTACGTCGCTCTGTATTCTTCACCGTTAACTTTATTCGGTATTCACTTCTTTAAAAACTTGTCGTTAAAATAAATCATTCATATTAATCAAAATAAATTATTTTCAAATTATATTTCAATTACTCGTACTTTTGCGCATTTTTACGGACAGTTACGATTCACCAAAAACTTACTGCTGTTATTTTCATCCATAATGCAAAATAAATATTCGAGACCTGCTTTGCCAAAATAAATTCAATCGAATTCATGACCGCAAAAATCAAAAACACGATTTTAAAGTATGATCTGAAAATCAAACCGCGCGAGACGTATAAAATAACTATATAAAAAATTGCATGTAAAAGCCAAAATAAATACACAAATAATACGAAAAAATCAACAAACACAACGCAAATTTTCTACCGACATCACCATAAAAATTAAGTGAAGAAAAAGCCAAGTAACCGCAAAATAAAAAAAAAAACAACAACAGAGCTTGAAGCAAACTACAGCATACCGAGCCGCTGTTATCAACCGTCTGATGTTTGAATGTCCACGTCGTGTCTTTACGGAAAGCATCCTTACTCATCCCTATCGGTCGACTGAACACCGATATACACATCTGACCGAAGAAATAAATCCCCATTGCCACGTAATCAACAAAAACCGGCAGAATTAGTAACAAAAACACTCACACACCGGGCATTGCCATGCCGTTAACAACATCCTTCCGGGAGTCATATTTCGCATGCTAGGAAAATAAGGAATACCGTGGATAACCAAACAAGCAAATAAATCAACACGCCACCGCCACATGTTTTTCTCCATATTCTGTTTGTCGTTCATCACTGGCAAATAATTCTTTAAAATATTTACCATTTAATTTCCTTTTCTTTCAGCGTGAAGCACCGTCTCAGCAGCGTGAATAAATCGTTCAATGACCCACAAATTAACCAATAAACAAATTATCGTAATCAATTTTTAAAAAAAAAACACACAATAAACAGCAAAGTAAATAAAACTAAATCGAGCAAAGCCAGAAAATGCGCACTTCGTCCACGAAGAAAGTCAGCAAAATAAACCCGATCAAAACTGAAAAATATTTCTGTGGAAGAGGACTAATACTGAAATGCAAGAATTCCTTAATTTTCTTGGAATTATTTTTTACCAACATAAACTGTAATAATATTTTCAACAATAAATCTCGGGTTAAACATTTTGTTTACCAATTTTCTGGTTACTTTTCATTAAAGGGATATTCCAATAAATGGATATTAAATGCAATTATTATTACTAACAGATAAGAATATTCCTTAGACAAAAATAATTTTTTAATTCAATATTTCCAAATAATTTACTAATTTTTTTGTGTGCGAGTAACTAGTCTTTATTACGATAATACTAATTCTTTACTATTTTTCTATAATACTGATTATTTTGCGGGTTAACGTGATTAGCAGCGCGGGCGCTTACTTTGGCATGCCAGTAGACGTTAGTCCAGATGTTAGTATGGTTCTGCGACAGCACCATGGGTCGACCCAGCACCCGGTAGTAATCCTGCCAACACCCACACCCATGCCAACACACACCTCCCACCACCACGCTCAACAACTGACCTCGACGTTGTCCCGCACATCCGCCATGGTCGACACATGGGTGACGTAGCCCCGGTTGAGACAGGCCATCTTCTTCATGTTACTCACGTCCGTCACCTCCCGCCCGATGACGTAGGTGAAGACGCGCACCCGCTTCTCGGGATTGAGCTCGGCCATGAGGTCGTCGTACTCCTCGGGCAGGCCGTCGCTGATGATCATGATGGCCTTGTTGCAGCCGGCCGATTCGCGGGCCGGGTCGGTGCGGTTGAGCACGGCGAAGGCCATCTGCAGGGCCTCGGTGAAGTTGGCGATGTTCTCCGTTTTCAGCAGTTTGATGCGCTCTTCGAAGAGGGATTTGGTCAGCTCCGAGGCTTGGACTAGGGTGTCTTTCAGGCAGGGCTCCAGGTAGCGCGCCACTTCCGCCACCTACGATCAAAACACAAAACTTACAGATGAAAGACAAGAATTTAAAAATGGAAAAAATATTCAATGAAACCTTCACTCTTAGTTTATTTTATTTTTATACAATTTATTTAATTTAAATACAGTGCAGTGATAGGTAAAATACGAATATCGTAATTTATGTTATGTTGCTATGAATAACAAAAAAACGGATGAGAGTTGAGATACGGTTTAGAGTTGACGCTTTCGTGGCTTTTTTTGTAGGCACTATTATGTAACAACAACACATGTCTCGGCGCCACTACACTACAAAACTCGTTGCGTGTCTTAACAACGCTAATCATCAGTAACCGATAGGCACCGTATAATATTTTCAACCTAAGCATTCAAAATAACGATGTTTTCGTGTCATTCGTAAATAGATGTCAAGCAATAAACAGTAGAAACACAACAAAATAACACACAAAAAGTCTGCAACAAAAATTTTTAAAAAAAGTGTACAGTAACCAGATAAAAGCAAAGCCAAACGAGGCCCTTGCGTTCAACGACTACGCCATAAAAAAGTCTAATATTAATAAAAAAATGTTAATAACTACTCTGCGGATAAAAGCAGAAAAAATTAATAAAAAAAATGTTAATAAAAATATTAATAAAAAAATAAATTAATAATATTAATAAAAAAATGTTAATAATTACTAGTACTATTAATCGTTTGCGTGATTCACTAATAGTCGTACTGCTTTTATGCGAAATACCTTTTTTTGCGAAATACTGAGGAAAAGAAATGCATTCCCGATTCAATACCTTGATGATGTTGAAGAAGTCGTCCTCGTGCAGCGTGTTCATGATCTCCTTGACGGTGGTGCGGGCGATCTCCTGCCGGATCCCCGTCATGCTGCCGCTCATGTCCAGCAGGATGAGCATGTCCTTGGGACTGCTGGCCGCGCGGATGTACCAGTTGGTCAGGCGGCAGTCGTACATGTCGGGCCGGTCGGGCTCCATGGACCAGCGCGCCCCCGGGTACAGGCGCATGAAGCCCTCGGCGCTGCCGAAGTACTGCCACCGCAGACTGTCGTCGTTCGCCTGGTTCACGCGGAACGTCTTGTCCAGCTGCTTGCTCCACCGCACGCCGTACAGCACCGTCGGCGCTACACATTTCAATACACAATTTAATAATTATTAAATTTTTTTTTCCATGTCCCATAAAATTACGACTTTCGCAACACTCTTCTAATTTTTTATAAATTTCCCCGGTTAAGTAAATTTTTAACAACAGATGGTATCCGTATTTCATGCAAAATGCAAAATTAAATACCAAATTTTATTTTTACCGAAATGTCGTTCGGTAATTTTTTTGGTTATTTTTTTTATCTGTTTAATTACTTATGTCGGTTATTTTAATTACCCGAAATTTCATTTTGATTTTTTACCGAAATTTTTTACCAAAATTTTATTTTATTTTAACCGAAATTTTATTTTTTCACTACAGTATTTTATTTATTTACTACGTAAGAACTGCATTTATTTTTTGTGCAAACGTACAGCGGTTGAAAATGTTGGTGGGCACGTGTACCGTGCTGCGCAGCATGTTGACTTCCTCGTAGTGATACCGCGGATCCGCCGTGAAGTCCATCGTCAGGAACGGCCAGCTGGAGTCGTTCTTCACGTTGTTCAGCTCCTTGGCGTTGTAATACGATACCTACAGAACAGAAAAGTGATTCTGTCACATTGATTCTGCGAGCGTTAACTGACTTGCACGTTGATCGGAACAAATATCAAAATGAACTAAAAACATTTCGCCATTATGTACACAAAATTCGAAAATGCATTGCATCTAAATCACCGAATCTTTACGCCCGAAAAAAAGGTTTTAAATAAATAATGAAAAACTTTCTTAGAACATCCTCTTCCAACATTTTGCAGCAATTACAAAATAAATAAAAATGACTGGGAAGAATCACATAAACAAAAATTATAAGAAACTTTTCACTTTTCACTTGTAATTTTTATACAAGTCACAGGAAAAAATAAGAAAAAATTATATTAAAATTAATAAGAAAAGGAATGTCCATAGGAAAACAATAAGAAATATTATTAGAAGAAATAATATTTCTAAGAAATAATATTATTATTAGAAATAATATTTCTGTCTTTAATTTTTATTCTGCAATGGAGTTTAGACAGGCACGTACATTAACGTGGGGATCCCAGGCGGCGGCGCGGGTGATCTGTTCGGCCGTCTCCACCAGGCGCTTGACGGCCTCCACCTTCTTGCTCATGGTGCTGGAGAGCTTCGTGGCGATCTCCTGCAGACGCGCCGCCACGTCCTGCTTCTCCACGCGCACGCCCGCCGCGCGGAAACTCTGCCAGGCAGCACTGCCGGTCAGCGTCAATTATCAACCATTACATTCGGGAGAAGAGACTACCTGTTCCAGCTGCGTGAATCCCGAGGCATCCTTCGTCAGACGGAATAACTCCGAGCCCAACTTCTGTGCTAGTCGCTTCAACCTGCACGATGTACGATATCAGACACGTGAGACCAGCCGCGCAAATAAACAGCAGAAAAAGTCTGGGAAATCGAAAAAACCACAGAGTACCGAAAAAATGGGAAATGAAAGTCTAGTGCCATTTTACAAAAAAACAATGTCAAAATATCGTAGATAACTTTTAAAATTATGCAGATCAAACTGCAGCCAACGATAACCAGCGTCTTCGCTGTACAGAAATCTTAAAAAAAAATCTCAATCTCGTTTAATAAAAGCTAAAACTGATCTCATACACAGAAAACCATAAAAACCAGAAAACGAAATTAACTGTAAAGATTGGAAGTGAATTATGTGATTTAGTACCCGTGCGAACATGTCAACCGCACAGGTTACCGCGGTCTGCGCTACGTGACGGTGAGCATGTTGTAACGATTTTCCTATTTTCTTATTTTTCTAACTTCCATCTATGATTTTAGTCAATTTATACTGCAGAAACTGAGAAAAATTTTGGAACTCTGTGATCTACACTCTACAGTGTTTTAAAATAAATTAACGTAAATGAAAGCTTTAAGAAACACGGCACAGGAGGGTAAATGCGCGCGCGAGTCGTATCGTTAATTGCAGCACAAGGTGTTTGCAGCGAGGAAGAACTAGACCTGCCTTCAACTCTACTCACGCTTCTTCAGCCAACCCGTTGTGCTCCGCTTCCAGCTGCTTCTGCGCCGTAATCAGCTGCTTGCGCATGGCCGCCTGTCGTTTGAGCTCGGCCTTGGTGAGTCGCTTGGAGTGCTCGGCCGTCGCACTCCCCAGACATCCCAACCACACCACCACCCCCAACCCTAGCGCTCTGGCCAGGAGCATCTTCGATCCGAAGCTGCTGCCACAGCGCGACGCCCGTTGTTATTCGTCTATCCCATCGCGCTGCACACTGATCATCGGAGAAATCAGACGACCAACAGATATCTTCCACGGAGAAAATCAGAATCGAATTACGATGGTGCAGCGTGCAGATCAACAGTGAGAGAATCCCCTGATTATCGACTGCGCATCGGGGATCGATACTGCGGGGTTAATTGGGAATCGGATCCATATCAGGGACAAATAAACACGGGAAAATGCTGGTGACAGGAGAAATCAACTTGCTTATTGTAACTTATCGACCCTGAGATTGTAAATTATTTCTACTCTGTGTTGAAAACGAGAGGAAATGAGAAGAAACTGCTCTGTCAAAGATTTCATGAAGAAACATGAATTTTGGCAGATACCTTAGGCTGGTTTCAGCCAGCAGCCTTGCGAGGGATTTACGCAACCACGCACACGTTAATTGCCGCATTAATCGCGTTGTGCTGCCTGAAGGTGCTTTGAATGCCAAGACGAGTGTACGATTCAACGTGCGCCTGCGTACGTATCAGACGCACGTTGAATCGCTACTCTCGCTCTTCTCTCTGTCGGTGGAGAACGGAGAACGCAGCATCCCGTTGGGATCGATCGCAGTGTGCTCATCGATGGAGTCATACTTACCCTGGAAATCGATGAGCGATCCGAGAATAGCTTACAAGTGCAATAAATGCAGTTTGTACAGCTACCCCAGCGATACACCAGTTTTGAATAGCTTGTTCTATAGGGTCTCTTTAAGTGGTGGTATGTTTTGCTGACTCTGTTTGTAAGTACTCGTGTACCAACTTCCGCTGCCAACAATGCGGTCACAGAGAGCATTATTTTCATAGCTTCTAGCCGGTGTTCATAGCAGTTTGCCGAGGCGGCGTTATTCTGGAAGTCTGTGGAGTTTCAAGGCTAAAAAATTATAGTACTTACATAGAATAATGATACTCTTACAGATGCAGTGTAGTTAACAACAAGAATGCGTTTCTCGCATATCGGACATTTTTCACAATATTTATACCGACTTGCGTACCGGACACCAGAGATACGGTATTCCCTCAATTTCTCTGTGATGTTCCACATTAAAAAACTTGATAATTTTTTACTAATCTCGTGTACAAGCTTTCATAAAATTACTATTCGTCGTGTGATCATTTTTGGACGGTTTTTGTCGTGTGGAAATACGGAGAAAACGCTGTGCCTCTAGCTGGTGTCCGACTCGCGAAATGATATTGGGAAAAAGCCTGGAATAATTGGAAAGTAATAATTGGAAAATAAGTGAAATAAATAAAAGTTAAGTAAATCAAATTTCGGCGTTGCCGTTAATGTTGTTTTTGACCCTTAAGCGAAGTTTCCAAGTACAGTCACAGTGCGTGAAAAGATGCGATTGAAAGGTGGAGGAAAGCCAGGCGTAGCCGGAACTTCGGCTTATGTCATTGGAACACGCCCCGCAGATGCTTTGGTCAATCATATACCGTAGATGGACGCGCTACCTGTCACGCTGATCGGTTGCTACGGGAGAGTTACCTGTTACTTGTCACCTTTCCGTCGTAGAAAGTCGGAACGATACTTTACTCTACGATATTATATACCCTTTGAAAAGGTCATTTTGCCGGTTACACCGACTAGCTGCCATTTAAAACGTTGTTTTCGTTTTCTCCTTACCACACCGCGCTGGCCCGTATATAGTGCAAATTAACGACTGCCTGAAAACAGCATCAAGACAAAATCTTCGGCAAGCGGAATTCGTGATACTCGATCGTCACGGTTTTGGTCGGGCGACATTTGTCACATCGTCTTTTAGCAAGTTCCTTGATATTCTGTACTGTTGGATAGTTACTGCTTTCTTACTGCTGATGAATTGTTACCACGATATAAACGCGCTGTTTAGCAAAGAGATTTCCTGCATCGACAGCCGGATCTTTGACTGGGAGGATGCATCGCGGGAAAGGTCCGTGACACCTGCTGCTACGCGTAGATCGAAGACTAACCTGGATGACCCCACCTAATAACCTTGGCATGGGTTATTACAGAACTTATGATAATATCTGTTTTGTGAAACAGGGAGATGGCTAAATCTGAGATGGCGAGATTGATCGAACATATGGGCAGATTATCGTCTCAGGTAGAACTGACGCACGGCAAAACGAAAGGTCATTCAAGCACCTGCGTCTTAGGATGCAAATTAACTAATATACATATATATGTATTTAATATAGTATACTCGTATTAACGCTTCATAATATCACGAAGACTTTGATAAACCTGAACGTAAACACCCGGTAAAAGGGATGTGACCCGGTACATGGTACTTGCATCTGTTTGTACATGGTACCAGATCCTTAAGTACATGCACAAAAACTCTCGCCTTCTCCATAACATTTTTTTGCACTGTTTCTTGCATTTCATATCCAAATAATTTGCATGTATTGGCGTAAAATTCCGACGTAGTCATAAAGGTAGTTTTTGATTCTTAAGCAAAATTTCCAAAGTACAGTACGTGTACGTACGCAGATAAAACGGCGGGAAAATCCAGACGCGTGTGCGCGCAGCATCCGGTTCGGGAGACGCTGTGGTGTCAGTTCCAAAAATTCTAAGCGGTAAGCAGCCCATTCAGAATCATTCGGCCACAGAATGTCTTCAAACGTGTTCGAAAGCGAGCGAAAGCGAAGGGTTTCGCACATGTACACGAATTTGGTACCATGTACAGTGTTCAGTGTACCAGACCTGGGCAGTTATAGAAAACTGACCCAAAGTTAGAGTTAAAAGTTACAGGGAGCGTGCGAAAGCGAAGGGTTTCGCACATGTACACGAATTTGGTACCATGTACAGTGTGTACAGTCTACGTATTAGGTCACTTCCCCTAGAGAAAATTATAAATTGCTTTATTATTAATTTTTACAGACGCCGTGTTGAGTATAAGATGTACAGCAAAGTCATTTACTTATTAATTTTTAACTGCTTCTAATGATCGATGACTTATTTATAACTTAACTCAGTATTTAACTTTACCTGGTACCCCACGGCAGGATGGTAGAGACTTTGGTTGTTTTTTATTGTTTAAGTGTTAACTGTAATGTAGTGTTTCCGCTCTTGCACTTGCTGTTATTCTGAGAGCTGTTGCCTAATGTATACAAAAGTCAGTACTCTAGGCTCCTGCGAATTATACAATAATTAAAGATGTAACGCTTTTCATCGCAGTCGCAGCACTTGCAATTCCCCACGACAACCTTCGACACGTTCCACAATTCTGGACAACGAATCTACGTCACCAAGTTTCCTAATATTTATAAGTCAGCATAAAATTATTAAGTTCTATTTCTTCTTCTGTGTACAACTACGCCAAGTGTTGTAAATTAAGCGGTTCCGGTGTAGACTCAAAGGAGCCATCATGGCCTTTGCGCGAATCGGCTGGAAGACACTCCTACTGGAGGACTGCGACGGTTTCACGGTGAAGAAGGACATGATGGTCCTCTACGACATCCACGTTGCGTCCTGCAGTAGGCGGAAAGGTCAAGCCAAGAAACTTTTAGATTTCATATTTGCGGTACGTAAATAAAGCCTATATAAAACCATAACTAAAAAACGCCTGAAGAAAGAACGCAAGGTATCTTTCGAATTCGACATACAACTAAAAACATTTACATTGCAGCATGAGCGTATCCAACCATGGGAACTGGTCATCGACCAGCCGACAGCCGCGCTGCTGAAATTCTTCGATAAGCATTATTATCTTCGAGAGTTCGTTCCTCAGATCCAAGGACGATACGTCGTCTGGAAGCGATACTTTAAGGAAATACACCCAACACGCACCAGCGGTGGTAGGAGCTAAATTAAAAAGGTTAGTATCGAACGTATCACCCTCAATTTAATACTTTTGCAGTTAAACTAGAACCCCAGCGCCAAACATACACCCGCAACGTACGAGATTACCTAGGTGGACCGTGGCCGGTACGGCATTTTCCCGGGGATACTTTGCAAAAGCATAGCTACATAAACTGGCACCCGCCCACCTGTGCGGCACTGTCCAACGATCTAGAATTCTTAACGTCCAAGCAGCAACGAACGCACGGGATGCTATGCAACAACCACGTGGAGAGGGAAGTTAACCGCCGTATGGCCGACGGGTGGCGGTGGCATCCAACGGCCTTCTGGTAACCTGACGCTTTCCAAAGGAGACGGTTTATGCAGTCACCAGAAGAGAAGTAGTAGAACCAGCGGTTTGATGGTAGTACACATAGCGGGCTCTCCTATTGGTCGGTTTAGCCTAAGTACCGCCCCCTATAGTCTAGGGTATACAAATAGCGGAATATGGTCTGTACACTGTACTGTATATACAAATAGCGTACAAATCAGCCTGATCTGATGGTGTGTACGAATAGCGTACAGTCCATGTACTGTGTACAATAGCGTATTGGTCGGTTTGATCTGTATACCGCCCATAATGCACCGCGTACAACAGTGTATTGGCTGACATTATATTACGATGCCACTTTAAACCAGATGTGCAGTGACTTGTGATCAAGTGCACAGGTCAAACTTTCCAAGTCATCATTCTTAGTTTTCACTTCTGTAAGTCACCATCTAAGGAATTATATCTGCAGCACTACAACTGGATTAACGTGCGTGATCGTGTGCTATCATTATGAAAGTTGTTTTGCTGGAAACTGCAAAGATCGTTTGCACGTTTGAAAGGGTTTTATTTTAATGTTATCATTGTTGATGTCCGCGTTTTGTTAATTTTGCACTCGGATCGGTACTGATTTTGGACTATTTCTCATCTTGTACTGATTGACTGGCACGGAACAGCACGTGTTAGTGCTGGCGGAGTAGAGAAGTGTCCGCATTCTGGAGGGCTCCATACGGTAAGTGAATGTGTACGTGTTAAGTACTTTTTTTCCGCACTTTCTCATAGTTTTCATCCCTGCATACATTTAGTTACACCAAGTTATACCTTCTTTGCGTCGTTCACAAATTCTTTCTTTGAGATTCTCTCTGTTTAATTACTGTCTCTCCTTCAACTTTGACGCGACAATCTCAAAATTCTTATTGTGCTACGAAGTGCATGGCGCCGCACCAGGTGCATTCTCACTTTCGCTTCTTTACTTTCCCACGTGCTTTATATGACAATCTCAACATTCCAGCTGCCTAATTATCTGTCCTGTGACTCTGACGCGACATTCTCAAGTTTCTTTCATGCTTGACGCGACATTTTCAAGATTCCTATTGTCTTACCGTCTTGCTTGGCGCCACGCCAGGTGCATTCTCACAATCCTTACCACATGCTGCATAACATTCCACCTGTCTGATTCCTGTCTGTCCTTGAACTGTGCCTTGACATTCTGAGATTTTCTTGCTCGACACGAGATTCTCAACTTTCCTACATGTTTGACGTGAAAACTGAGTCGCTACTGATGGTGCATGCAATTTTTTTGAGATGATAAAACATGGTTAAACTTCATCGGGCGCCACATTTTAGATGATAACACATGGTGCAACTTCATCGGGTAGAGCTTCTGAAATGATTTTTTTTGTTTTTTTTTGTTTTTTTTTGTTTTGTTTTTTTTTGCGAAACATGCAACACATGGTGCAACTTCATCGAGTGCAACTTGCACAACTTTCTAGATGATAACACATGGTTCAGCTTCATCGAGTGCAACTTTTTTTTTTTTTTGCGAAACATGTAACACATGGTGCAACTTCATCGGGTAGAGCTTCTGAGATGATAACACATGGTTCAGCTTCATCGAGTGCAACCTTTTTTTTTTTTTGCGAAACATGCAACACATGGTGCAACTTCATCGGGTAGAGCTTCTGAAATGATTTTTTTTTTTTTTTTTTGGTTTTTTTTTTTTGGCGAAACATGCAACACATGGTGCAACTTCATCGGGTAGAGCTTCTGAGATGATAACACATGGTTCAGCTTCATCGAGTGCAACTTGCACAACTTTCTAGATGATAACAGATGGTTCAACTTCATCGGGCGCAATTTTTGTTTTTTTTTTTGACATTGTGTTTTGTAACCACAGGCCAATATGGGACGATGCAAGCAAGTTCCGGTACGAAACCGGAGTCGCAGAACGGTTTTTCTAGATAAAGAAAAGTCGCCAATCCTTTCAACACCGAGACCGTCTACTTCAATTACTGGACAATGTCCAAGATGCGGAACCATGGTTTCCAAGCCTATAAGTGCCCACATCTTGCAACACTGCTCGTATCTTTCCAAGTGTTTCAAAGAATTTGCAGAAAAAGAAAGTTCTGCGGCTAAACGGGCTGTGGATGCGCTTGAAACGCTGCACTATCCTGGAAAACGGTTTGTTAAGCAGTTGGATAAAGTGACCAGTGCCTTGGCTCATGGTTCAGGTGTTCGCGTGGCGAGAACATTCCGTGCTGACCAATACAATCGCTATATGACCGACAGGGATTTTACCGACTCTTGGTCGCTCAGCAATCTTGCTGCATCGCTGGACTGCGTCAACTTGAAAAGTCTTCTTCAGATGCTTGCAACGAAAGGCAGCTTCTTGATTCCTGTGTCAACAACAAACAAGCAAATGCACAAAGATCTTATCTCTCTTGTGTCCGTGATGGTGCTACTCAATAACGGTAAAGATTTGTTTCTGAATTTCAATAATGTCATGTCATGTCATGTCTTTCGTAGGCCCAGAAATAAAAATCATGTTCTTCAATCCAAGTGGCAAGAAGTGCTCGTCCAAATTCATTGGCCGCGCCTTCATCGAAGCTGTTCTGGATGAGTCTAAGCCGTACCCTGAGTTGTATAACTTCTTCCATCATCAATGGCCGGAGATACCTAAAGACTTTCAGCACCTGCTGCCTGACAGCGTACAACATGGTGCAACATTGTTCAGTGAAGCATGCACGCACTTGTCTCGTTATTTTATCAACACCACTTTGGAAAAGGTAAGAATCGATATTTTCTTTCTTTATTCACTTTTCAATTATGATTTCTGTACAGGTTGTTTCTGGCCAAGATATACGATTTGCCATGCGTGACACAGCTGTCGAAATACAGCTGTTCGGTTGGCAAATTATTTATTCCCGTCATACAACGTTGGAAAAGAGCAATGCCCTGCGTAACCAGATTCAAAAACAAATTGGCTGCCACTACATTCTAAATTTGGCCACAGATCTTAGGTATGGCACAGAATTCTACGTGTAAGCAGTACTCTAGCTAATCAAGGGCTTCTTTTGTAGTTCTGAGCCTTCAACATTGAATAAAGTGGATACTAACTACATTGCTGCCATGGATCATGATCTCATGGATACCGACAACGACTTTGACGACTACGGATATAATTTCGGCCAATTCTTCAATCCTTATTCACCGCCTGGTAGTCCATTCAACTGGTCACAAGTCTACACACCACCGCAATCGCCAGCCACACAATCCGATGAAACGCATGAACCCATGGAAGTTACTGTGGAAAACTTCCTGGATGTGGATGAAAATGTTCAGGCAGGTGGTGCAGAGCCGATGGATGTCGACGTGCAAGACAACGACGACGATGTGGAAGAAGCTATTGTTGCGAATCATGTTCCTTCCCAGGAATTACTCAGCCAACCTGTTCAGAATGTCAACGTTCCTGAGTCAGACCAATCCTTACCGTCGGAATCGGACTGGTCCAAAGTTTTTACGCTCCAGAAGATAAGTCACAATCACAACAAAAAGTTCAACCATCATCAGTATTTCTACAGCCTCAAAATCAAGTCTTTGCCGCAAGAGTTTGATACAGTAACGTCATTGGAAGCCCTGCCTGAAGTGTTTAAAGCAGTTTGGAAAGCCTGTTCTAAAGATTTCCAGCCGGACGACGCTGTCTGCCTAACACTGTTCACCCGGACTATGGAAAATCCCATGCATTTAAAAATGCAGTTCTTCAATAATTTTAATTCGCGCGACCTGACGGAGATGGTAATGAAGATCAACTCAGGTGGACTTTTCTGTATCGATGATTCTCTACGGCTCGTTATTCAACGTACGGTCATTCCCGCTGGTGGTGCTGCTAAGCGCAAGCATATTCACTCAACCCACGATCGGAAACGATTTGCGACTTCAATTGTGCAAGTTGATGTCGGTTATAATCTGTGTTTGCCAGCATGCCTTGTGCTTGGACGGTTCTATCACGATCCTGCAAAGAACACACGGAACTGGAAGCAACTGACTGATAGACGAGATAAGAAACTACAAGGACTTGCAGCGGATTTGGTGGAAGAAGCTGGACTTACTGTCGGAACCAAGTTTTCCTTAAACGACATTGAACGATTCCAAACAACTGTCCTTAAGGAGTTCCAGATCAAAGTTGTTGGAGCCGAACAAGGTAACATCATTATTGCCAGGTGTCCCGAAAGGCAGGGTAAGCTGAAAACCATCTATCTTCTGTACGAGAATGGCCAATTTGATCTGATAACCAGTCCATCCGGATTCCATCGACGTGGTTATTACTGTGAGTTGTGTGACAAGCCGTACGTTCAGAAAGAAAAACATCGATGCCAAGGCAAATGTCTCAAGTGTTATCGCCCGAAAGAAATCTGTACCGAGCCAGAGGCATCCAGCAGGATTCTGTGCCAAGATTGCAATCGCGAGTTCAACAATGACACCTGCTTTGATCTTCACAAGAAAGAACGCAAAAACGGGCGGCCATATTGCACAGAATTGTTTATCTGCCCGAAATGTGGAGTGTTTGTCAGTTTGCTTAATCGTAAGACCAAGAAGCACGAATGTGGTGAAATGTATTGTCACCCGTGCCAGGATTGGGTAGATCAAGCGACTCACAAGTGCTACCTTAAACCTTTAGAGCCTCGTGTTCATGGATCAAGTTCGAATTACATCTTTTTCGATTACGAGACTTACGTGGACGCGGAAGGAATTCATAGACCTTGTTATGTCGTCGCACAATACACGAGTGGAGAAGAGTTTCGCTTTCCTCCAGATAATGTGTTCATGACCGGTTATGATGTTCAGAAAGAATTTGGCCAATGGGTATATTCAGAGAAACACCGAGGATACACATTGATTGCACACAACTTTCGCGGTTACGACGGACACTTCCTACTTTTGTATCTTCTGGAAAACAATCTCAAAGGAGTTGAAGTCATACGACGCGGCAGTCAACTTCTTGATCTCCGTTACCCGGCTTTGGAAATCAAGGCGCGCGACACTCTTAACTTTGTCATGACGAAACTATCCAATTTTCCGAAAGCTGTTGGTCTGACCGATTGCGAATCCAAAGGCGATTTCCCTCATCGCTTTAACAAGCCGGAAAACTGGGACAAAGTGCTTCCGTT